TATCTATATATATATATAGATATTTATTACAGTTGTAATAAAATACAACTAAAAATACAACTTTAATGACTTCTTCAGTCTCAAAATGATGCAACCCCGTGAATAGAATCCCTCACAGGAGCAAACATCTGCAAAACAAGTGTTGTCTCAAGCACACCTGATGCAACTAATCAAAGGCTTCATTAGTTGCACCAGGTGTACTTGAGCTAGAACACATGAAATACCTGAACTGGCTCGGAGTCTGTTGAGTGTCACGTTTGACTGCATGTTGGAAATATGGCAAAAGCGTGGTCAAAAAGTGAAGAAATTATTGCAGAGCAGTTGCACTAAAGTTGTGACTCGGAGGCTTTGAAACCAGCTCTTAGTTACATGTAGCAACATATTTATAGTTCTATCCTAAATTATTCTTAATCTTTTCCAACAGCTCTTCAGAGAAGTGCGAATTATGAAGGTTCTGAATCACCCTAACATAGGTAAACTCTCATACTTGTTCCAGCGCTGTTGTCCTATATCCCATAATAAGCCGCTGTCATGTTATTTAGTTCCTGTAAAACACGTCATCAAAGTAAGGTTACGTTAGCAAATTCTTTGTAAGTTAAAAAGGACTGTTTAATAGTTGAGACATTTCAGCTTGCGAATTATGAGAGAACTTAAAGCAGAATTCCAGTCTAGAGCAATATGTATGCACGCTGTGCAGCTTTCGTCCCTTATTTTATCTTATCTGAAGTTTTCTACCCTTAAATTGAAAGAAAAAAAAAATAGGTTGCGTTCTTGGTCTGCTCACATTCCTCTACTCTGGCCTATGGGAGAAGTCAGGTAGTCAGTACACACTGCACTAAACAGTAGAAGACTGTAAACCAGATGTTGTATGTTGCATGTGTTTGCAGGCCAGATCACATTGCACAGACAATAGCCTGTGCTCCGCTTCCACATTCCAAACTACTTCTGTATAATTGGCTTTTACAGCACACATTATTATCTGTATACAATAAGAAATACAGCGAGTCAATTTTACTCGCTAAGAAACAACACTGATTTTACACTCCGCATTACAACGTCTTAGTGTTATATGCAGAATGCTATGTAGGATTCAGTGTACAGAGGGGGTTTGCTCTTTAACTCCTTTTTATGCAGAATAAACTGGCTCTATGGAAATTGTGTGCACTACATAGGACATAACAGCTTTGGTTGACCCCCCCACCCCCCCCTTTCCAACTCCTTCAATTTTATAATTGCCAGCAGGGCCACCCACAGGCCATCTTATGTCCAGTCATCAGCCAAAATAGGAGCTATGTATGCTCAGCTTTAGGCTGTGATTGGGTCTTGTGGCAAGTTTGGTGTCTGCAGACTGCTAGTACTACTGCAATGCCCTTCAGGCCTTGTTCACATCAAATGCAGAGCAGATCTGCATGAGTTTCTGCACATGCAGTGGGTTGTACCGCATTTTTTGCCGTGTTTTTGATGCGTTCAGGGCCTTTTTTGGTTAAATAAAATTGGCTTTCAGTGCGTTCCAGTGCGTTTGCATGTGTTTTTTTTTACATGCTCTGGAACTACTGCGGTGTGAACTAGAGCCCAAAATAGCATTGGAATACATTGGACGCAGTTTTGATCCGGTCTGTAAATGCTCTGCTCCTGGAACGTGCTTGGTGTGAACAAGGCCTTAATGAAAATTCAGAGGCATGCAGTGGGCAGGGCAAGAAGAGAAAACTACAGAGCAACATGTTTTTTTCAGCAAAGCAGCAGAAGCAAAAGCAAATGGAACAAAAAAAGTTTTTTTTTTTAGAAAAAAATTAAATCCTATAGAGGAAGTCTCTATACAAAATAGCAATGTATCTCCAGAAAACTGCTCATGTATTTGCTATATGAACAATGGTGTGAACTGTGCCTGTCCAGTACTTGTCCTTTTTATATACCGTATATACTCGAGTATAAGCCGAGATTTTCAGCCCATTTTTTTGGGTGAAAAGTGCCCCCCTCGGCTTATACTCGAGTCAGCGCCAGCGCGTCATCTTACTTACCTCGCCGAGCGTCACTGTCAATGGGAAATGTATTGTATGTGATTTGCCAAATAATGACAGACTGCATTTTTTTTTATGCTAGATTTGCATTGCTGGGTTTGCTATATTGAGCTATCCTTTTTTGTCTTTTTTTTACGTTTTCTAATTTTGTCTTTTTTTTTTTTCTTCAGTAAAATTATTTGAAGTTATAGAAACCGAGAAGACGCTGTACCTAATAATGGAATATGCCAGTGGAGGTTTGTTTTTTGCTTTTTGTTTTTGTCTTTTATAGTTTCTTTTGAACTCGGAGGAATTGCTAAAAGCAATGGCACGCACACCTTTACAGGTTAATCTGCATTTTTCTTTCTATGGTTATATCAAACTGCTTGCATCAGGATTCGTTTAGGTCTACAATCCACATGTTCAAAGCTTCATATGTGGCAGGCTTTTTTTTTTTTTTTTTACTTTTTAAAGAGCTATTTAAAATTGGTCTTGTAGAATTATCCACTGGCTCAGACCACCGAATTCTACATTTGTGAACCCAGCCTAAATGTTTAAATTATTTCAATTATTTAATGCCCTCACTTTGGCCACAGGTGTACTGTAAGCCCTCATTCACAGGAGAAACGGCCGGCCTGTACAGATCCGTGCTACGTAATCACATGCAGCACCTGTCCTTCCCGGGAGCTGCCCGATACGGCTCATACGGAGTTGTACGGGCCGGCCATTTCTTGTGTGAATGAGGGTTAAAGGTGATTACTGGATAAAATGCTTTCTAGCCTTTTTTTCATTGATATGCATATACCGGAATATACACCAGGGGGCACCAGGTGACTAATTGTAATACATAAATGATTCATTTATAAAGTATATTAAGATTGGAAGGAATGGGGCAAACACAAAATGGGTTACATATTGTTTGGTTAAAAAAATAATGAAAAATGTAGGGGACATTAATAAAAATGCTAAGTGCTTCTAGCTCTGTTCAATGTATGTAGTGGATACAGTTGTCTAATAAAGTCTAAGTCCAGTGAAAACTTAATGTTTGGATTAGAACCCCTGTCAGATTTTTGCTGCAATCCCCGTTAGAGAGATTTCACCTCACTTACTGTCATGATAACAACATGAGTGGAGGGAAACTCTTCACCAGGGACAGACAGCAGTTAAAAAAAAAAAAATCAGTGTCTTAGGCATTCAATTCATACAATTTTAAAGTGACTCTTAGGCCTTGTTCACACCAAGCGCGGAGCAGGTGCAGAGCAGTTGCAGACCGGATCAAAACTGCGTCCAATGTATTCCAATGGTATTTTTTGCTCCAGTTCACATCGCAGCGTGCAGGTCCAGAGCAGGTGAAAAAACTGCAGCAAGCCCTATTTTACCTGCTCTGGAACGCATGCAAACGCATCAAAACGCATGCAAATGCCTGGAACGCACTGAAAGCCCATGCTAAACTAATTTTTTTTTTTTTTTATCAAAAACGTGGCACAACCCACTGCACTGCATGTGCAGAAACCTGAGCGGATCTGCTCTGCATTTGGTGTGAACAAGGCCTTATAGTACCTAATATCATACTATTATACTATTTCTAAAACTTTAAAAGCAATTCTCCCTGCAAAGAAAGCAATCTACTCATCGCTGCCCTGTCTGCACCAACAAACTTCTCTGGTTTGATGAACAAAGCTTGCTCAGAGATCTTCTGCATTTGACCCCTCCAGGTGTATATGAAAGCGGGCTCCCCCCACTGCAGTTGGTGGCTTCCTCCACAGTGGGAAACCAGTCATTCAAAACTCAGGAAGTGTTGAATGCCGAAGGTCTTTAACCAGTTGACATCCGCGGTGTTAAACCCCCTTCCCATCCAGGCCATTTTTCAGTATTCAGCGCTGCGCTACTTTAACTGACATTTATTCCGTCATGCAGCGCTGTACTATTCACTTTTCAAGCTAGAGGAGTTTGATGGTGCGGGCAGTGGGACCCATAAGTATTAATCTCTTTCTTTGCAGGAAGGATTGCTCTTCAAGTTTTAAAAATCATTAGTATTAGTGTTTCAATCTTCTAAACTTTTCATGAGAAACGTATCAGTGCTGCTATTGCTGACCTCATTTGAGAATACTAGTCCCCTGGCTTTCATGCTGATGCTTTGGTGTCAGTGCTGTCAGTCTCTGACCTGGAACAAGCATAGAGATAAGCAGTTCTTTTGGGACATACATTTACAGCATGACTTTCCCTTGCCTGAAAATTATTAGAGACAGACACTGCCAGGCAACTAGCGTTTTCGATAGGGCCAGCAGTCGATGCTCCCCATACTTTTCTCATGACAGATATCCGTTAATGCTACTACACTAAACACATACTTGTTTGCCCACTACATGTGTTTAAATTCATTGAGCCAGGTTTAGCACTCTTGAAGTAGAGGTCTAGGCTGTTAAAACACCGGTCTAAATGCGGTCTTCCATCTGCCTGCTCCCCACTGGCTGCATAGATTTTAGCATATATGCAATTCAACTTTTTCTATGATGTGATGTGACCACAAGGCCCTGACCCTGTGTATTGTGCAGGGCTGAATTCAATAGAGCAGCGACTTCCACTGCTCTGTGTTGTTTAAGGTGGTGACAGTTCCCTCCCACGAACCACACATCTCAGAGGAGATGGATCTTTGTAGTCAAGTAACCGCATAGAAGAAGGAAGGAAAAAGGGAACTTGCATTGCGTTTTTTTTGCTCAATTGTATGCAGTGCAATGGGGAGCAGTGAACTGGCAGCATTTTAGGCTAGGTCCACACCTAGACAATTTGGATGCCGAGCTGGTTTCGTACGATTGTTCATTGAAAACAACACGGTTATCAATGCATAGAGATGTCTGGGACCCAAACCGGGCGACAACCGCCTGAAAATCGATCCTGCACCTTTTCGTGTGACAGGTGATTTTGTCCATGCGACAAACCGCAGAGGTGTGTATTGACTTCAATGTGAATCTGTGTTTTGCACAATATCTCGCCTAGGTGTGAACCTAGCATGAGACCCCATTCACACTGAGCTACATTAGAAAAAGCGTAGCACTACTTTTGGCATGGACTTCGTAGCTGCTACATTGGGCTGTATCCAATCAAAAGCGGTCTTGATGTCACATATTAAGCCAAATCGCATGAAATCCAACGAAAAATAGGTCATGTTCAAGCGACAAGCTTGCGCTACAAGCTACAGGCGACATTGAGCACATTGAGCTGTGACATGTGAACCGCCCCTTTGAAATGCATTGGATGAGCTGATGTGTTGAGCGATTTTTGAGCTGAAATCGCGCTACAAATTCGCTCAGTGTGAATGGGGTCTGAAGCTGCGGTGTTATATAACCTAAACAGAAAACATTAGGAAGAATGCCAGTGACCACTGAAGCTGCAGCCTGTGTTCCTTTTAGCTTATGGCAAAGTTAGCCTAATTCTGTGGTGTGCATCTTTTTTGCACTGGGCATCACTCATTGGGCATTAGAAGCATGCATCAGACACCCCATTATGACACCCATTTATGAGGGACCATAAACATATACCCTAAAGTTAATTTCTATGGAAGATCTATTTCATCCTTATGTGCTTCCAATCCACTGTATTGCATAAAAACAAATTATGATGTTTTTGGTTGCAAAGGCTCATAGGTGCTTTCTTGTCATAACAAATAATGAAAGTGCAGGTTCACTTTCATAAAATTTTCTACCTATAACATATCTGCTACATTTCTTCGTTTTTTTTCTGAAAAGGTTAAAAAAAAGTTTTTCAGGACAGCACGAGTGTCGGAAGGCCTTTTCTTTATGCAGCTGTATGCATGGGGCCAAAGCTAACCACACGCTATTGTTCAGGAAAAGAAAAGCTGTGTTTTTTTGCAGCTGAGTGCATAAGCCTGAAACCTTTTCCCTGTCTTTCTGTAATGCATAACAAATTCAAATTCACGTATGTGTATTTAAGACAACTGTTACTTAATTGAATGTAATTTAATAAATATAAAATAATCTGGAATCTAGAATAGCCCTGTACTCACATGCAGTTCCCCCCACACTTCGCTGAACTGCCTTAATATCAGGACATTAAGAAATGCATACTTTTTGTTCCTGTCAAAGCTTACTCGCATCTTTCTGCCTCACTGGCCAATAGGAAATTTTGCAGGAAGGGTTGCCAAGCTTCAACATTTCCAGAAGTGTGAGAGATTTGCTTATCAGAATGGCACAAATTTGGGGTTAACGCAGGGCTCGGAGGCTACTGCAACATGCACCTCTAAGTGCCTGTACCTTTTTATGCCCAATACCGATTTTTTCTTTTATTATAGAGTTTTAACTGCAGTAAATACATGTGTGCAGTAACACATAGGTGTGCATAAGACTTCAGGCTCATAGTTGTGGACAGAAACAGAATACATATGAATCAACCACTGCAGATTGAATTTATACAACGCCCAGCAATCTGGAAGCTTAGCATTGAGGTGCCTGTCATCACCATAGAGATCTAATTTAGCTGTGCAAAGTGAGCCTCTACATATTCCTGTAGGGAGCCACATCAATTTTAAGTTTCATGCTCACCCAGTAAGCAGTTTCACTAATCACCTATTCAGAACCTGCCCTGTTGCAGCCTGCCAGTTTCTGTTCATTTTTTTTTCTCCACATCTCCGAACTCTTATGTCTGTAGCATGAAGAAAGAAGCTTACACTAATCATACAGGCAGAGCAGGGAGTGGGGTGCCAGAACAACATCCAGGGGTGCCATTGGCACTATGGTGTATAGAGTACCACATTCCTAGCCATGAGGGTTAGGTCCAGATGGCAAAGTAATAGAGCTGTTTACAGGAGTCAGGGTAATTTCAGTTATACTGGCAACTACCATTTGTCTACCCCCAGGCTAGGGTTTACACAAGCTTATTCCTGTAATTAAATGAATGTGCTGCTGCCAGACAGTAGTGCCTCCCCCTAAAATGCTGCAGGTACGGAGCAATATTTTACACACATACTTTTGAATTGAGACAATGCACATATCTATTGACTGTGATTTTCAACTAAATATCAACTCATTGTAATCTCTTTTTATAGGTGAGGTTTTTGATTATTTGGTTGCTCATGGAAGAATGAAAGAAAAGGAGGCACGTGCAAAGTTTAGGCAGGTGGGTTTACCATGTTTACACTGCCACGTGACAGATCTGTTTGCCTGTACAACTGGCTATCAATAAACTTTACTTTACAATGAATTGCAGAGGATACAACATAATGTTAGCATTTTCTCATCTTATATATTGAGTAGTAAAAAAGTAAAGTAATTCACAAGTTGAAAAAGAACTTTGCAAAGGTTATATTTACTGGCCCAGTAAGCAAGGTGACGGTGTGTTCACATCAATCACGTTCTAGCAAAAATCCACTTTTGTGTATTGTCCAGTGAAGAACACAGCTTGATGATGATTAGGCAACCTAGTTTTATTCTGCTGCCTACAGGAGAGATTGACACTAGGCAAATAGAAAACTGAAGTCCATCCTTGAGGCTATAACCCAGGGGTGCCCACAAGGTCGATCGCGATCTACCAGTCGATCGCGTAGCGATCACTGGTAGATCGCACTGTCCTCTCCTCCCGCCGCTTCTCTGGATCCCCCGCTGCTCTCCCCAGCGGGGATCCGAGAAGAAGTGAAGGAACCGGCGGCGGAGCACATTAGTGCCTGCATTCCGGTCCAGTGCGATCTGCAAAAATAGTGCTCGCAGAATTTTTGCGGATCGCACTGGACTGGAGCACAGGCACTAATGCAGGCGATCGCACACGCCCCCTCCCGCCCCTGAATGCAGGTGTTTTTTAGTTGCTAGATCTCAATGAGCTCCTCATTTGAAAAGTAGATCTCCAGATGAAAAATAGTGGGCGCCCCTGCTATAACCCTTCCCAGTTTTGCTGAGTGTGCTCAGGAAAGTGGATTTGTTCTCTTCAGCTCTGCTGTTTTCTGTTCTTTTGGAAGATTTTTTTTTTTACCATCAACAGCTGCAGGTAGTTTCAGAACAGCTACTGAGATCCTGAAAGTATTTCCAGTCAGCCCACAAGCACAGGTTTCCCCATTTTATCAAGTAGAAAAACATTCTCTGCAACAGCCCAGTATTATTTTGGAAGGTTTGCTAGTCAAACTTTGGTTTTCTCAGTTCATTAAATACACTGGTGCTTTCTCGGTAATGCTCCTGCAGTCAGCAGTGACAACCCCTCTGTGTTCCAGTTAGCACGGGAATGTATTTTCAGGCCAGGCCAGTACATCTGCGTTTCCTTGTGGAGTGATTGTGCTCAGATTTGTAACTGTTCCTGTGCCTGGCTCCGTAGATCAACTATTGTGAGTACCTAACAGGCTGTATGCTGTGTGGAAATTTTTTTTATGTTTCATACTGAAGCAGCTGTAGCTGACTGGCCATTCGTAGATGTATGCACGTAGTGATTTAAGCCGAGTACACTGCCAGGGGCAAGTCATAGTGAGTCACCTCTGGAGAACTCAGACCATCGGCTGTAGCCTGACCAAAGAAAACAATGTGAGACCTGGTTCCATGTCTCTGCTCTCCATAGAAGATGATCCTTCCTTTTATAGACCCTACTGACAAGAAGTTGGAAGCGATTTTCTATCCCATCTATGGCCTGGTGGGCTCTACCCTTCAACCCATGTTCTCCTCCACATTCATTTCCCAGCCTTTAGCTGACTGGTCTAAACTGATAAGTAAGAATATGGCTGTCGCTGGTGTTTACATGCAAATAATTGATTGAGTTGACCAGATGGCGTTGTTTTCAACTTTGTGCGATGCAGCACTGGATGCTAGCTGGGTTGTGTCTCTGATGACCCTTTCTTCTGTCCAGATTTGCAAAGATCTGGAATGATTGCTGGTCACATGGCAACAATGTAAGAAAGCTTTGTTAAAACGACCCTTCATGGCAAACCCACCTTTTTGATTCTTCGCTGGACAAAACATTAAAAAGGCTCCGGGGAAAAAGTGCTCATCCCAGCTATTCAATAATAAGGATCAGTGGCGCAGATCGACCCTTTATCCTTTTATCCTATCAGAAAATGCCGTGGCTCCTCCAAGTCATGTTTTCGTTCCCATAGCCACAATTAATTTTTACCTTTTACTTTACTTTTTAGGTAAACCACATCCATTGTATTAGGTATTTTATGATTACGGTTTATAATCTGGGTAATTCTGCACACCATTGTTAACATGCGTGTAAAGTGTCGTAAAGCTGAATGCTGAAGGCAAATATAAAGGACAAATTATTGCAGCTCTGTAATTACCTCATTAAATGTAGTTTTTAAATGCAGGCAATGAAAGTACCTGAATTTGACCTGGTATTAGCCTCTTGTAATCCCTATGCAGCAGAGCTAAAGTGTGGGAAGAGGTAGCAGCACAAGAAGCCAATTGGCTTAGGTTGTGACAAGAAGCATGCTGATAAGAGGTCAAAACAGAATAACGGAGAAGTAAGCTTATCACTGAGCTGCTTGTCCTTTCAAGTCCCTTTTTAAACAAGGCCACTTGCACTTTATAAATATTAGAGGTGCACCGAAATGGAAGTTTCAGGCCAAAACCGAAAATATAGATTTCCCATTCAGCGCTTTCTTTCTGCCACTACTAGATGTATTAATTTTATTGGCAAATATAATTCAACCCACATCCTCTGTGTCCAGGTTGTTCTGGACCAGCCCCAACCTCAAGTGTCATAAATATTTATTAGGGGTGCACCAAAATTTCGGCTGCCAAAACAGATTGGCCGAAAATGGTACTTTGGGCAAAATGTACTGCTTTTTTTGGCCAAAAATACAATGCATCCCTAGCATCTCTCCTCCCCGCTGGGCGCTGCTCTGTGTCCCTTCTAACACAGAGCAGCACCCAGCAGGGAGGAGACAAACTGCCAGAGGCCGAGCGGGTGGGGAGGAGAGAGCTGTCCGCTGTCACAGGAGGTCGAGTTCTCTTCCCACTCGGTCTCCTGTGAGAGGCAGGTCAGGATGGAGAGCTGTGAGGGAAGGAAACAGCTGTCACAGGATGAGGAGCTGGTGATCTGGGGAGAAAAGAGCTGTCAGTCCTGTCACAGGAGGCCAAGCTCTCCTCCCCACACCGCAGGCTCAGCCTCCTGTGACACTGAGTTAGGATGGAGAGCGGTTACAAGCAGTCAGCGATCAGCTGATCGCTGACTGCTTGTAAATAATTGAGGCCATAGTATGTTTACGGTGTCTCCAATTATGAATGAACAGGAAGTGCTCTACATCACTCCCTGTTCATTCATGATTGTGTACATGATAAACATATCTCCACAGGTTATGAATGAACAAGAGCACTCAGTATAGAGGCTTTGTGTTCATTCATAAAAAGCCCCCTATGTGATAGCCAATTTACACTGACCGGTCCTCTTTATGGAGACATCAGGGGATTTAAAACCCCTATTGTCACCTAGGGACTCCCAAATAAGCTGATGAAGCGGAGATCTGCTTCACCACCTTGTCTCTTGCTTCTGTAGCCGGAGAATGACAACTGAATGTGGAAGTGATATACATCACTCGCTCATTCACAGACCGGATCAGAGGGAGATAATGTGCTGATCTCCGTTCACAGAGCCGCCAGCTCTACAGCTGCCTAAACGCTTGTATGTAAACAACCATCGCTTGTCCGCGCCGCCCAACGGAAGGGGCAGGCAAAAGGATGTTTGCAAAATGCCCAGCTGCATCTAGGAAGCCACAGTCCCACCCGTTCAATAACAAGATGACACAAAGAAGCTCTGGAAGCAAAATCTGCAGCTGATCATCCCTTTGCACACACATTCCCTGTTCATATCTCCTGCAGTATACCTCCCCCATGCTCATACATCCCTGACAGCATAGATCATTAGCATTTTAGTTCCCTGCTGTACACCCATCCTCCACTCCACGGCCTTGTTGCTTCTGCACAGGAGAGCAAGGAAAGAAGGGGTGAGCTACTACATTCACCTAAAGCTCTCACTGCACTACTGTTTGGGAAGGAATGGGGGGTGCTATTGTGTGGAGAGGAGTGAAGAGGTGCACCATGGGTGTGTTCTTAGAACTCAAGCTCCATCTCCCCATTACAGAATGTCAGTGATGAGAGTAAACAGGCTGAATCTGAAGCGGTCTAATGTTGGTAAACATTGCTATTTAGCCGCAAGAGGAGTCTGAAGAAGCAGTTGAAATGTACATGTAATTGCAAATTTAGCGGAATACAGAGTAGATTAAAGGAGAACTATGAGGTGAGTGCTTTTCACTCACCTCATAGTTCTAGCCGACCTGTGACAATGAGACCGTCAGAGGTCGGCTCAGTAGATCGGGAGGTGAGCGAACACATAACAGCGTTTGCTCACCTCTCGATCCTGTCACGGCTCTCTGACGTGACAGAGGAGGGGCTGGATTCCCCCCTCCCCGCTCCAATCCGCCAGCGCTGACTGGCGGAACGTACGGGGTAGGGGGCGGGTACAGCTGGCTCTGCCTCTAGATAGGCAGAGGCAGCTGTCAGTCACGCAGCTGGGCGGATCCAGACATAATTGTCGGGATCCGCTTCAGGTGCGGCGTCTTAGTATACCGCGAGCTGCTGCTTAGGGTGATGGGAGGACGCTAGTTTGTGTCCTCCCGTTACCCTAAAGAGAACTATGGGGAAAAGCCCTAACCCCATAGTTCTCCTCTAAACAGGATTTTAGGGAAACTAGCCTTGTTACTTTGGAAATCTTTTGCACCATAATTATAGACCTAAATGACAGGTTTTGGATATATTGCAAGGTCATGAGAATGGTGGAAGTGCTCTTGGCTTTTTTTTTTTTTCTTTGTATGCAGTTGATCAAGTCTTATTGCGTTAGTGTTCAAAATGTGCTACAAGATTACATTTGTAATGTACGCATCTTTGTCGGTAGACAGATTAATATTGTTACTACTGTCTTTGCTGAAAATTCTCGTGTCATTTTCTTTTCCAGATTGTTTCTGCTGTTCAGTATTGTCACCAAAAGTTTATCGTACACAGAGACTTAAAGGTAAGGCATTATTGGTGTGAGCAAAGCTATTTAATGTATTTTAACTTCTGATTTTTTTTTTTTTGTATTTTTTCCATAGGAATTTTGTCCTTTTTAATAATTCTGCCCTATTAATAAATGCATAAAAACTTTAACATACATTGAGGCATACAGGACTGTTGACTAAGTTATTCTTGGACAAATGTGTTATTCTGCCACCTTCGTTGTATTGTTAGCAAATGTTTTTCATTTTTATTTTTTTTTAATCAATCTACTTGATGCACCACAGATATTTTGTTCTTCAGTGATTTTAAGCAAGACTTGGAAAACGTGGCTTAGACTAGTCTCTACATAGAAGCTATGCGGATCAGCATTTAATACTGATAGACAATAACTGTTACTGCTGGGGCAAGTGAGCGCTAATGTAATCTGCTAGGTGTAGTGTTCCACGCTCATGAAGTTTTGCAAAAATAGTGTCCTTATTTACATATTTTGTGTTTTAACTTTGAAATGAAGAAAAAGTTTCCTTTTTATCGTTACATTTTTTTAAATTCCCTTTTCTTATTCTTTGACTTTAATATTAGATGTGGGACACAGGTTTTACTTTAGCCTTTTCAACTTTTTCCCCTTGGAAATATATTTTGCGGTTTGACCACAGTTTATTTAAAAACATTCCCATTTCCGTTTTGTTTGATAACAGTATTTCCTTCCCTTTAAGTCGTAGAGCAGAGCAGCTCTCAGCATTGGAAAATTTGCTCTTAAAATTAAGTGTTTTTATCCTTCTGTGTGTGCTCATTGTTTTACAATTTGTTAAATGAAATCATATTCTGGTCTTTGCTATCCAGATTATCTTTTATATGAACATTTGTACTAAGCGCCACAAAATGATGATCTTAAAGTCAAAGTAGATATAATAGAAAAATAAATATAGGTCAAGCCAGGGTCTTAAATTCATCATATAGATCATAGAAGTGATTCAGGAATTCCATTTATTCCAGAATGAATCATGGGTATCATGGTGTTGGGCTAATAGTTATTCCATCCTCAGTATGTGACACAGCTTTATTATCTAGTCATGGATCGAAGGGGTTTTTATTAGTAGTCTAGTATCTAGGAGTGGCCACCGATGGGAAGAATTGTTAGAGATTTCTTGGCTGCTGCAAGGGAACCAGGGAAGACGGAGAGCAAAGCCTTTGAAATTTGTCCCAGGAAGGTTATGCTTATGTAAAATTAAATAAATCCTTAAAGAGAAACTCAACATTAACATTTTTGTTAAAAATCTTAAAAAAACAAAAACCTATTTAATTCCTGTACAAGCCATTCTGTAATTTAGTGTTATTAAATTATATTTCCATTCAAAAGTGCAACTGCTGTCATTTTCTAAAACTGTTTCAATACAATGTGGTGACCTGGAGGTGTTCTTTATGCAGTTGGTGTACAGAACGCCCCCAGAAATATCACTTCCTGCTTTTGTGATTAGCTGGCACTGCCACGCCTCAGAACGCATGGAGACTTTGTGTATGCGATCCCTTGTGTTCCGGATACGGGACAGTGCGATGAGCGCACTGGCTGGTGGCAACAAGCCCTTAAAGTCGATCTTTAGCCAAACATGTATTACCCCATTCAGATTTTTCTTTGTCTGTCGTGCTGGGGGAATTCTCTTTACTTCCTGCTTTTGTCAACTTTAAATAGCTATTGATTAACTGATTATTTTGACAGTATATTTTATCAGTGTATGTACTACGTTTTCACGCATCTCTTCTTGCTTAGGCGGAAAACCTGCTTCTGGACTCCGATATGAATATAAAAATTGCTGATTTTGGCTTCAGCAACGAATTTACTTTTGGAAACAAGCTGGATACATTCTGTGGAAGTCCGCCATATGCAGCCCCTGAACTTTTTCAGGGAAAGAAGTATGATGGGCCTGAGGTGGATGTGTGGAGTCTTGGGGTTATCCTTTATACATTGGTCAGCGGTTCTCTGCCTTTTGATGGCCAAAATTTAAAGGTATTTGCCTGTTAAGGAAACGTCCAATGTCGTTAATTCTTGCAGATTTGTGTGAATAAGATACTTTATTAATGCCTGAGTGTACAGATATGTAGTGGCCATTTTATTCCCTAGTAATACAGAAAGTTGCACTTTATAATTTTAGATATTGTACTTGGTGGACCTTGCACAAAAATTGCAAGGTCTGCTTACTAGGTGTGGCTCCTGTTCACCATCTCAAAAACAAAGAAAAACAAATAAAACACCTGTAGAGGATAAAAAAAGTTTGGTTAATATACTAATCATATGCCTCCTTCTGCCTTTGGCTCCTAGGCAAGGGTGACCAGCTAAACAAAGGCAACCACACAAATAAATTTATACCTAGCCTTTTAAAGTAAGGTGCATATACAAAGGCTATGCACAGTACAAACACAAATTTCCCAGCACATTTACCAGCTAGCCTGCATGGGAGGTGTTGCGATCCTTCCAGCAGGATTCTGGATATTGCAAGAAGATGCTACTGCACTGTGCTGTAGTTTTTATCCTGCATTTCCATGGGCGATTGGGAGAAGGGGCCACACTACATAAATGGACCTCACTTTAGTGACAAATATGTGTTTGACTGTTTTTAGATTTTAGATGACTGTTTTCTCTTCAAAGTGTAATTCACTTATCTGCGCCAAGCTCTTTAAGGTTTATCTTCAAATCTAAATCCTGGACATTACCGCAAGATCTTAAACGGCAACATTGTTCTAAATTCATGTTAAGCCATAGCACTGTGGTACCAAAAAGTCAAGGATATGTACAAGATAGCATTTTTGAATGAACCACACCGGGTAGTTTCACAGTAGTTCTATAGTGTCCTTGGAGAAATAATCCTACGGAAATAAGTCTTTCCTGTGTATATGTATATGTATATATATATATATATGTGTGTGTGTTTAAACCACTTGAATCCTTGGTTCTTTTCTTCTTCTCCCTTAAAGGAGAACTATGGGGTTAAGGCTTTTCCCCGTAGTTCTCCTTAGGGTAACGGGAGGACACAAACTAGCGTCCTCCCGTCACCCTAGGCTCAGTATACCGCGAGCTGTAGCTCGCGGTATACTGAGACGCCGCAGTGTACCGCGAGCTGCTGCTCGCAGTATACTGAGACAATTATGCTGGGTGACTGACAGCTAGGCAATCTAGAGGCAGAGCCAGCTGTACCCTCCCCCGTCCGTTCCGCCAGTCAGCGCTGGCGGGGAGGGGGGAATCCAGCCCCTCCCCTGTCACGACAGAGAGCCGTGACAGGATCGAGAGGTGAGCGAACGCCGGTATGTGTTCGCTCACCTCCCGATCTACTGAGCCGACCTGTGACAGTCTCATTGTCACAGGTCGGCTAGAACTATGAGGTGAGTGAAAAGCACTCCCCTCATAGTTCTCCTTTTAACTCTCCGTTTGCACATTATATTGTTAGTAAATTTGGTGTGTGTATATGTAAATATGTATGTGTGTGGGGAATAAACCGTGAAAGATTCTCATGTCCTGCAATTTTTCTCAGCGCAGTGTTTGCATAAGTTGTGCAGCACCAAATTATAATTTGTCCCAAAATATAATTGACAAAGTCTGCTGAATAAAATATCACATTAGTGCAACTTGTACGCAACATAGTGGAATTATAAAGCTCCATGTAAATATACAGTATTTGCTTTCACTTTCGGAGAGAGCCTTATTTCCCTTTTGACAATACGTTGTGACGCACACTAGGGGAAGAAGTGATTTGCATACGTTTTTAGTGTAACATTAAGATTTTCAGGTCGACGAGGACACAAATTAGCACAATGGCAACTTTTTCACAGTTTTGCATATGGGAGCATTTAAAGCTTGTGCAGGGAATGCAAATGTCACCCAGATGATCTGATGTCATGGTTGCTAACTGGGAATTAACCTGGGGAGGGAATAACACACCTGTGTAGCAGCAGATGTTTTTTTAATAGTGATATAGTGCTGGCTGCACACAGCCAGCCGTAGATCACTGTAGCAGTGATCTGTTGCTGCAGTAAGATGCTTGACAGCTGTAACAGCTCTATCCCAGCCTCTGTATTAAGAGGAAGTGCTGTGACTTCACTTCTGAAGTCACTATAATCCCAATGTAAACATTATGTGTAAACATGATGTATACATTTTACTTCTATGGCACGCTTCTGTGGAGTGAGCTTAAGAGCTGATCGTTTCACCTCCTGCGCTTGGTGCTAGATCCCAAATGTCAGACGGCTATAGACAAATCCATCCAGCACCTAAATGACACTCCCGGTCAGTGACCCTGAATGCCACTGGGAGTGTACAGCCAGCTGCCTGTAATACCATATTATAGCTCAAAAAATAGAACAGGCAAGCAACCCCATAATGAGCCTCCATTTGAGGGCTCAATAGAACGAACGGGGGGGGGCCAGAAGTAAAAGGGAAGGAACATGCTTTTGAAATTTTTTTCTTTGTCACTTGTTTGTTGAGCCTTTAAACAACTGTGGCTCATTCTATTATATTGTAGCTGTTTCTGTTTTATATGTCACAAATAGCTGGTGTTTACAGTGCTAGTTTTGGCAGGGGCCCGCAGGAGCCACTGAGAGTGGCCACAGTTTTAAAGTAGTACTGAGAGGAATAGCTACTACCCTAGTGTAATTTGGAAATGGCGATTTGGACTCGAATATAAATTATGGGTTGAGATCCAAATTGGGTGTCGGGCATGTTTGAGTGGGTTGCCATTTGACTTTGTGTCTAAACCCAAACTTAGTGTATTATTGCCGATTAAGCACACACAGACTGTAGCTCACAGTTCAGTCCCATATGGTAAGCTAGGGCGTGTACATGGGGAGGTGGGTGGTTTTGAGGCATTTACCCAGACAAGATTAAGGGGAAGAGACTCAGGAATACATTGAAATGATTACTACTTCAGGCAGTCCCCGAGTTACGAACATCTGAGTTACGCACGACTCGTACTTACAAACGGAGGTCCCAGGCTGTTCCACTAGTTGTAATGCTACCATGCTTGTGACGACGTTCGTAGTACTTTACCTCCTGTACATTACAGGAAGTTGTTAGATGTGCAGACGAGGAGTGCCTGCCTCTTCCCGGTCTGGTACTGTACATTACAGGAAGTTGTACAAACATCTGTCCAAGTTGCATTTAAAGTAGAACTTTTCCTAGAGCTCACAAGAATGTTTAAAGAGTGAAGATATCTTTTTCAAATCACTTTCTCTGCTGTAGACATGTTTGTCATGTCATGTTTGCTTGGAGTCGGTCTTTAGATTAGCTGGTAAAAAAAAAAAATCTGTTCCAAGTCCAAAACTGCTGACGGCTAAATAAACAGCATTTATTCCTTCTTTTTCAGGAGCTGCGCGAGCGTGTATTGCGTGGTAAATATCGCATTCCTTTCTATATGTCCACGGACTGTGAAAATCTGCTGAAAAAATTCCTCATTTTAAACCCAAGCAAGAGGGGTACACTGGAGGTAAGATAGCAGGATTTGATTTCAGGACTTCCTTAAATCCAAACTAAACTTGTCAGAACCTAAAGTGGGTTCCACTTTTGCAGTCAAATTTGAGAAAACCCCTCTATGTTTTGTGTTTCTATTCACACAGCAGACCAAATGAAATAATACAAAAAAACCTTTTTAGATATTTTGTTGCAGCAGGCAACATGGCCGAATCACAGTTTTTTTTTTCTGAGCACCTTCCAAATGATCTCTCCTTATAGAATGACTTAGGAATGAAATTTGAGGCTTGTGTTTCTCTTATTAACTTCATTATTTTTTAAATGCAGAGGCCAGTGTTTTAAGCCGGCTATACACTACGAAGTTCGTCCGGTTCTTGATGAAGCAGCTAAATTTTGCACACTGGGTGGACCTTTCGCCACCCTCCTGTCTGGCATCCTTTGAGCAGGAGATGAAAAGAGCTGGATAGAAAATCATGTGCTGCTGCCACTGTTAAGGCATTCTGTTCTGACAGCGGCATCCGTTCCGACTGAGACAACGACAATTATGTCTGGATCCACCCAGGTGCGTGAGTGACAGCTGGCTCTGCCTATCTAGAGGCAGAGCCAGCTGTCCCAGCCCCCTCCCCTGTCCGTTCCGCCAGTCAGCGCTGGAGGATGGGACAGGGGAGGGGGGAATCCAGTCCCTTCCCTGTCACGGCTCTCTGCAGGGATAGATCAAGAAGTGAGCGAGCGACGGTATGTGTTTGCTCACTTCCCGATCTACTGAGCCGATCTGTGACAGTTTCATTGTCACAGGTCGGCTCAGATTATGAGGCTGAGTGAAAATCACTCACCTCATAGTTCTTCTCCTTTTAACCATTTAAGACAGGCAGTGTTCAAATCTACTTTACAAATCTTAATGAAATGAGCCAGCACAGTGCAGACAGAGTTAACAAACACCTCCTAACAGTACACAGAATGAGAAGCAAGTAGAAATGTTAACCCTTAATTAGCCAAGTAGAAACCTAAACCAAGTAAAAGAAATTTAAATTGGGAGGAAGCTTTTTTTTTTTTTAAGATTATGCTATGTAAATGGGAACATGTAACAAATATAAAACAGGTGTTACCCCAAATTGGATGCAAAAGTGGAAATGCACTTTAAATTCTCCGCAAACCCAAAAATGTATTTTCCTTTATTGTCTCCCAACTGTTTTCCCCAACATTTCTTTACAAATAGATTTTAACATGATAAATAGCTAGAGCCGGCTTCTCAGCCAATCAGGCCATTAGTGCCACTAGCGGTTTGGAGTCCGTCTTGTGCTTTGTAACAACTGGTCGTGGTTTGTTACTAACACTCATTGAGATTTCACTATAAGGATTGGTAGATTTAATAATAGTAACCGATATACTTTTATTTTTGCTCCTAGCAAATCATGAGGGATCGTTGGATGAATGTGGGACATGAAGACGATGAGTTAAAACCTTACGTGGAACCAGTTCCAGACTACAAGGATCCAAAAAGGACAGGTCTTAAAATAGGTTTTTTTTTTTTTAAATAAGCTCAGGTTACTTCAATTGGCACTATTCTAAAGTAATTTTAGTGGTATCTCATGGTATCTAAAGGGGCCGGATTGTAGATTAATGTATGAAGTGAAGTCAGTTTCATAATTCTAAGATTTGTTTTCTCCCAAAGGGATAGGAGCAGGACACCAAACTCTACTAATATTATTGAGAAACCACCTTTACTTGTCTGTTTAAATGGATATTTTAAAGTAGAGACGATCGATGCCCCATAAACGTTAAGTGCAATATTTAGTGAAACTTTGTGCTGTTGTACAATTTGTATAACCACTTACCTGCTTTGCTGCACTGGGGTCCCTGGTTCATATACCAGTCAGGACACTATCTGGAAGGCGTTTGCATGTTCTCCCTGTGCTTGCATGGGTTTTCTCCCGTTACTCCGGTTTCCTCCAACACTCCAAAAACATGCTGCAAGATTTATTGGCTCCTGTCTAATTTGGACCTAGTATGTGTGTGTAATAGAGACCTTAGACTGCAAGCTCCTTGAGGGCAGGGACTGATGTGAATGTGCGGTATGTAAAGCTCTGTATAAATGGTGAGCGCTATATAAATACTAGAGATGCACCGATACCGAGTATTTGGGCGAGTACTCGTACTTGCTCAAATGCTCCGATACTTACCTCCTATACTGGAACTTCTGGTCAGAGGGATATTTCCCTCTGACCGGCAGTGCCCCAGGGAGCATGGAGCCGGCTTCCTTTACAATCGGGAAGCCTGGCGGGTGGTTATGACCTGCCTTTCGGCTTCCTGATTGGCTATGAAGCCGGCTTCATGTGTTGTTAAGCAGCCTGGCTTCCTAACCAATCAGGAAGCCAGTTGGCATGTAATGATCCGCCTCTTGGCTTACTGATTGGTCAGGCAGCCTCTGAAGCCGGTGTTCTTTCTCTAGAACATTGGCTTCACAGGCAATCAGGAAGCCGGGCACCCAACTTCATGATGATCTGGGCACAATGTAAAAAAAAAAATATTGGTACTCGAAAAACCGGTATTGGTGCATCCCTAATAAATACCATAAATAAAAACAAATAAGATGCTGATCGCCTGTTGTGGTTATGAGTTACAAGTAGTTTATTTGTGGACAAACAATTCTGCAGATAACATGTCAGCTGTCCATGTAAAAGTGTATTATAGAATTCAAGACAGTATGCTGAGTGCAACTTTGGTTTAAGGCCTCATTCACACTGCCGCGCATATACGCGTATTGTACCATATGCAACATATGCAAATGGCTCTATACACATAGCCGCGTATGGAGCCGTATATTTGCGTAGCGTATATAGGCGCAAAAACAGAATGGAACATAGATGCGTCCAGGCAACGTATTTCTGCATATTTACACGCACATGCAAAATTCCATTACGAGTGATGCATTCTGGGATTGCATATAGTGCACGCATATACACATAGACGCTCGTATATACGCAATATACAATTTTGCTTGCGTTGTGTGTGAATGAGGCCTAAACCAGTTATTTCTTGCAAGTGGTAGTTTCCTTTTTCTGCTGTTGTGGTATATTTTTACGTTTGTGCAGTGTCTGTGTTCACCTATTTTTCCGTTTACCAAAATCCAGCTGGACAGTCATGTGTCTGGAGAAGATGTTGCCTATGGCAAAATTCTACATTTAGCATCGTCTTTGTAGCAGATGAAAGGAGGAATACTTGCATGGTCTTTCAAACGTTTCTAAAAGCATTGTGGGGCTATAGACCACATATAGAAGTACATAATGGCCTCAAATACTACAAATGGAATATATTAGATAGTAGTAATTGGTCACATTCAACTGCTCTTCAGCTTGGATAAGCTATGAAACATCTGCAACTTTACAAAGCAAATCTAGTTAAATGTAACTCCTACTAGCTACACTATGACCTGGATAAATAAGAACCTTCAACAAAACCAATGGAAAACATTGTTAGAATAGGATTTGAGTAATGAAGTAAGGTTTTTCTTTGGCACTCAAAAAATAAATAAATGGAATGCCGTCAATGATAGTTATAGATATTAGTTAAATTATTTTTTTTGTTAAAGGAAAAACATGACATTTAAAAAAAAAAAAAATCTTCTGCTCTTTGCTAGACAATCCTGCTTGTTAATAAATGATTCCGTAAAACGTTGTTTACTTTTTTTTTTAACATAGATTTGATGGTGACTATGGGTTATTCCAATGAGGAAATCCAGGACTCGCTTGTAAATCAGAAGTATAATGAAGTCATGGCCACCTACCTTCTGCTTGGATATAGGACATCTGAGGTACTAGGCATTTTTTGTTTTTGGAAATGTAGTTTTAGTTTTCAAAGGTTTTAGGGGAGTCTCGGTTTAGTGTTCATGTTCATTGAACACTGGAATTAAATTGATCGACAAATAAACCTCCCTATTACTTTTGGGCACACTACAAGGGTGCAAATGTAGGTATTGAAATTGTCAAACAATCGGGTAAAAGATACATTCTCATGGTGTGGGGCAAATTCTGTTTCTTTCCCATCCATTGAGGGACACAAGAATTCAGAAACAGATGAGTGATGCTGCTGCCTACAGGCGGTTAGGACCCTACTCTACCCAGCATGCCTCAGCTTTTTGCTAGTGTGCAAGAAAATTTGGGCACCTTTTCTTCAGCTCTGCTGAAAAAAAGTCTAATGATTTTTGCTAGCTCTTCTTTTTTTCTTTTTCTTTTTTCTTTTGTGAATAATGAAGATTCCTTGCTGACACTGCTGCTTGGCAGGGCTATCCTGGAGTGTAACCTCCTGGCACTGGGCTCTGCATTGTGGCACTTAATAGACCTGGGTGTGCTGTGTTAACCGAGAGGTTCTTTCCAGGTCCTGAGCCATGGCACAGCCCCAGGTGTGACCAGACTGATGACTTGCTTAGTAAGGCTGGTCTGGCTGAAACACCTCAGTGTTTGCATCGTTGGGCGCCTTTTCAAATTTCCCCACCACTACTATTTTTTTCCACGGTAAGGGTTAAGGCTGAAGGACCAAGCGCTGACATCTGCTGGATTGAGTGCTGCACTCTCACTTTGAAGCTCCTATTGGCTATTTAATCTGGATGAAGCACCATCCTGCTGCTGTGCACTATGCAGATCTCCAGTCTGTTTCCATTAAAATACCTTAACTATTAACAAAAATAAATCTTATTTGTGTATCACTCGGCTGTAGGTCCTCAAATCGTCTCTGACTTGGTGCTGACATTGTCCTTATGGAGGGTGGCAACTTTTGTTCCCCATGGTACCTGTGTAGATTGCAAAGTAGACACCGCTCCAAGCTCATTCCCATGACGGACTACAATCTCACGTTTAGTTTACTAATTTGTATTGAGATTGTATTGTATATTGAGATCTTGTCAGGCTAGTTCCCCTGTGTTCCCTCTAATGCTATCATTCTCTTGTATTGCTTGCTTCAACTGAGTGGGTTTGCTGTGGAAAGGGGTTATAGCCTCAAGGTGGGGCTGGCCTTCAGTTTTCTATGTGCCTAGTTAGGCTGCAATATATTCCCAAAGGTCTCTTGCAATCAAGTTGTATCTTGGATTCCCCAGAAAAGGATTTTACTGTTTAGTACAAAAATTCTATTTGGTAGCAGTAATTTAATCAGAGGGGCCAGTCCAATCACAGAACAAGTGTCTGTGACCAGCCCCCCATCCCATTCTTTTGTCACAGAGACTGTGTGTCTAGCATTCATGTTGTAACCTGCGGTAGCATCCGGATAAGGCAATGCTTCTATCTGTTCTCTTTAGATGGACAATGAAAACATGACTCTGAAGCCTAGACAACCTCCAGATATCACCAATAGTACAGCTCCTTCACCTGCTCACAAAGTACACCGCAGTGTATCTGCCAATACCAAACAAAGAAGACTAAGTGACCAGGGTGAGTTGTGCCTTACAGTATTATATAGCATTTATATAGCACCAACAGTTTTTGCAGCGCTTTACAATACTAGAAAGACATTACAATTACAACACAGTTCAATACAAGATGGTAAGGAGGGTGCTGCCCATGAGGGTTTAACAATCTAAAAGGGAGGGGCAAGTGATACATGAGGAGGTAGCTGTGTGGGGATGAATTAGTTGAGAATGTGATAGTTCAGTGGTTAGTTTGAGGCAGGATAGGCTTCCCTGAAGAGATGAGTCTTTAGGGATCGCCTAAAGGCAGTCAGAGTAGGAGATAGACAGGTTGGGGTAAGGAGTTCCAGATGATGGAAGAGACTCTAGAGAAGTCCTGGAGGTGAGCATGGGAGGAGTTGATGACAGAGCTAGAAAGCAGGAGGTTTTTGGAAGAGTAACCGGGACAATTAGGGTGGTACGTTGAGATGAGGTTTGAGATATAGACAGGGGCAGAGTAGTGGGTGGCTTTGTAAGAGGTTGTTAATATTTTGTATTTTATCCTCTGGTCGATTGGAAGCCAGTGGAGGGATTGGCAGAGGGGGGCTGTAGACACTGAGCGGTTGGTTAGGTGGATGAGTCTAGCAGCAGCATTCATGATAGACTGAAGGGGGGATAATCTGTGTAGCGGTAAGCCAATGAGGTGAGAGTTGCAATAGTCAAGACGAGAGACGTGTGAGTAGTTTTGAGGTTTCATTGGTGAGGAAGGGGCGTATTTTGGAGATGTTACGAAGGTGAAGGCGGCAGGATTTGGATAGTTATTGGATGTGGGGCAGAAAGGTGAGGCCTGAGTCAAGGATGACACCTAGGACCTTGGCATGGGGGGAGGGCTGGATAGTTGTGTTATCAATCTAAAGGAAAAAGTTGGGGGAAGGTGCATGGGCAGGAGGAAAAATCATGAGCTCAGTTTTTGACAGGTTGAGTTTTAAGAAGTGTTGCAACATCCAGACTGATATGTCGGTTAGTAGATTAGTGACATGCAAGGACACTGAGGGGGCGAGTTGTGGAGTAGAAAGATAGATTTGAGTGTCATCGGCATAGAGATGGTATTGGAAGCCATGTGAGATTATCAACTGACCAAGGGAGGAGGTGTAGATGGAAAAGAGAAGGGGTCCAAGGACAGAGATTTGGGGGGGCCCTTACAGAGAGAGGAAGAGGGGAGGAGTTGGATTTCAAGGTGCTACTAAGGAGCGCTAAGGTAGGAAGGGAACCATGAGAGAGCAGAGTCTTGTAGGCCAAGCGAGTGGAGTTTTTTTTGGGGAGCGGCAAGTGGTCAACGGTATCAAAAGCGGCAGAAAGGTCTAATAGCAAGAGTAAGGAGTAGTGGCCGTTGTTTTTAAGCAGTTAGGAAGTCATTAGTGAGTTTTAGGAGGGCGGTTTCAGTGGAGTGTTGGGGGCGAAAGCTGGACTGTAAGGGGTCGAGAAGGTTGTTTATCAGTAAGGTGGTGGCTCAGGGGGTTGTAGATAAGGCGTTTTAGAAGTTTGGGGGTGAATGGGAGTAAATAAAGAGATTGGTCTGAGATTAAGGTTGGTGGAGTCCTGTGAGGTTTTTTTGGGGTATTGGGGTGACCAGAGCATGTTTTAGAGGGGAGGGAAAGATGCCAGTAGAGAGGGAAAGATTGAAAATGTGAGTAAGATAGTGATCACAGTAGAGGTGAGGGAATAGAGCCCCGGGGGCAAGTGGTGAGGTGGGTGTCAGAGAAAAGCTTTGTAACCTCCTCTGTGGTAACAGGGTGAAAAGAGGAACGTAACAAGTGTGATGGTGGGTCTGGTATATTAATAGGGGAAGATGACTGCACAGTGGCAATCTGAACCCGGATTGTATCTTATTTTGTTTTTGAAATGAATGGCAATGTCCTAGGCAGTGAGTTAGTTAGTGGGTGGTAGGGGGAGATAGTAGAGAGTTAAAAGTTGAAAAGAGTTGACATGGTCTGGATGAGTGTGTGTTAATAGGAGTGACAAAACAAGTCTGTTTGGCAGCACGGAGGGAGGCATTATATTTTAAGAGGGCAGCTTTATACAGGGGGAAGTCTTGCAGAGACCTAGTTTTCTGCCACAGTCGCTCAAGAGTGTGGCTACATCTTTTAAGATGTCTGGTTTCTTCTGTTTGCCATGGTTGTAGTGGACGTGGCCTCAAGGTGGCCATACACCTTACAACCATTGTACAACTTTTTTTTATCCAGACATCTCACCCTCGTTCAATTTTCGTTCATACAGCCCATCATGCACAGATCAATGTAGTTCGCAATTAATGTTTGTCAGCACCACTAACTGGCCGATCGAAAGAAGATATTTTCGTTTGAGCATGTGCAGTTTTCAATTTGAGATTTTTGTTGTAAAAAAACCGCCACTAACCCGTCTTTTTTTTTGTCCAACTAGACAAAAATGTTCTAGCTTGCTTAAAAGACAAAAATCTGCCAGTTGTACAGTAACTGCGGTTGTGCAATTCCCCTCAACCGGCAGATTTTCAGACAAAAATGCGATCGCAGACATAAATTTGCAGATAATTGTAAGGTGTGTGGGCACCTTAAGTCTGCGTGTAGCGAGGGGAGCCAAAGTGTCGAGGGAGGATGAGAGCGAGCTGTTGAAGACAGAAGTAACCAGGTCAGGGCAGGACAGGAGTGAGATTTTGTCAGAGGTAATCCATAGTAGAGAAGAGAAGGGTTGAAGTGGCAAAGGTTTCTCTGGGTGACAGTGGTGCTGTTTAGGGGGATTCAGGGTTGGGGACAGGGCGAGTGTGAAACTGACAAGCTAGTGGTTTGATAGGGGGAAAAAGGGTGTTGGAGAGTTTGCTAGGAGTGCATAGGTGAGAGAACACAAGAGCTGGTATGCTACCATCAGAGTGAGTAGGAGTGCTGTGTTCATTGTGTTCGAAAAAAGAAGAGGTTAAGTTGAGAAATTGAGTGGAATGCGGGGTGTTAATACTAGTAGTACTCTGAACTAAGTCAGTTTTCTTCATGAATAAGCAACTTCGAATTTAATGAAATTTGTATATTTTTGTTTTGAATTCAGCTGGACCAGCTATCCCCACATCAAATTCTTACTCCAAAAAAACCCAAAGTAACAATGCTGAAAACAAGCGACCTGATGAGGAGCGAGAGAGTGGTCGAAAATCCAGTAGCACAGTTAGGGTACCACCTAGTCCTTTATCTGGGCTTGAGCGGAAGAGAACCACTCCAACTCCTTCTACAGTGAGAAACATAAATGTTTTCATACTTCATTTTTGAAATCTTTGTAATCGTCTTCCATGCCATACTGTGTTAGGCATTATCTAGCTTTAATTTCTTTGTCTTTAATGTTAAAAGTAAGTTTATAAGTTCAAATGGATTTTTCTTCTTGAAAGTCCTTTTATACATTGTATTTTTATGTTTTTTAATTTTTAATGAAACAAATAGTTTTGTTTTTTTGCTCTTTTTTTAGTTTTTAGGATTGCGGGATAGAGGACCCTCTCCTGGTATTGTAATACTGAGAAAATTAGAACTGTCACTGCTGCTAATAGTTGGCAATTAATGTCACTTGTTGAATAAGTCAAAATATTTTTAGCATTCTTGTCAAATGCAGCCTTTTCCATTCAAACACAGCACTGGTCAAACACATGCATTTGAATGCAAAATGAAGCATTTGATAAGAAAAAGCTGTGTTTGATTATCTTTGCCTGCAGTTCAAATGCACTTCAATAGGACAGGTCAAGCGAGCCTCTGAACTTTAACCTATACCACTCCAGTCACTGGGAATCTGCTGGCCTGCATTTGAGAACACCCATCTACACAAGCCCCTTCACAGACAGGAGTAAGGTCTCGTTCACACCTAGGCGTATTGCATATGCGCGTCTGTCACGCGACCGGCGCGCGTTTTACCGTGATTCGCGGTAAAAAGTCGCGCTACAAACGCGCATTTCCAAAGGCTACTTGGCTGTATCCCAATGGAAACGCGCAACAAAACGGCTCAAAGTAGTACATGTACCTTTTCAGGCGTGGGCCGTTTTGTAGCGCGTTAGGGACGGGCGGAAATACGCCAAGGTGGGAACGAGACCATTGAATACAATGGGATTTATATTTTTGAGCGTTTTGTAGAGCGTTCGTCGAGCGTAGAACGCGCTACAAAACGCTCAGGTGTGAACGAGGGCTAAAGGACTCCAGGCAATCGAATAAATAACCTTTGCAGTGGAGCTACCCCTGAACTGCAAGGGTAAACTGGTCATTTTGGTCTAGAGGCTAAAATAAAGCAAATCTCCTCAGTCCTGCGGTGGTGAACATTCACATCTCTCACACTCCAGCGGTGGAATCTTCCTCAGTGTCCTCGCATCTAATGCAGCTGCATTAGACGTGATCACCTCACAGGTCTTTAGACTGATGGAGCCTGGGGGAGAAGGAGGCTGAAGGGGACTGGTCTAGCAGCCAAGGGGGACCGAGGATCAGGCGAGTGTATTTTCTTTATTTTAGCCCCTAGACCAAAACAAGCAGTTAACCCTTGCAGTGTGGGTGTGGCCCCACTGCATGGGTTAATTTTTCGATTGCCTGGACTTTTTACAGTAAGTGAAGGAAAACTCTAAAGGTGGCCATACACCTTACAACCATTGTACAACTTTTTTTGGTCCAGACATCTCGCCTTTGTTCAATTTTCTTGCAACTAGCCCATCATGCACAGACCAATGTAGTTTGCAATTAACGCTCCTCAGCACCACCACCTAGCTGATTTTCATGGATCGAAAGAACAGATTTACATTTGAGCATGTGCAGTTTTCATCTCGAGATTTGTTTTTCAAAAACCCCACTAACCGCCAGTTGTACAATAATTGCGGTTGTGCACTTCCCATCAACTGGCACGGACGAAAATGCATTCGCAGACAAAAATCTACAGATAAGGTAAGGTGTATGGGCAAGGGTAAGGTGTAAAGCCTGATAGTTTCTAAGCCTTCCTTGCTCTATTCCAGAAAAAAAAATGTTTTGGCTGGACATGCACTTTAAAGGTGCCCATACACCTTACGATTATCGGACGAAACTTTTCGTCCGATCGAATAGTCGTACGATTTTCGTACGGCAGCCCCATCCTGCCCCGATGATCGCAAGAATCATTTAGCTGTAATTAACCAAAAGCACCTGGACGAAATGCGGTAATTGATTTGCCGTATTTTCGTAAGCGCAAGCGCAGTGTAGATCGTACGACTTTTGACGGACGGAAACGCCAGCAACCTTAGGACAATCGTACGATCTAGCAAAGTTTTCAAACATGCTTGACTGTCAAAAGTCGTACGATGGTACAGTATTGTCGGTCGGACACTGCAATGCACACATACGATTATCGGACGAAAAGTCGATCGCATACGATTATCGTCCGATAATCGTAAGGTGTATGGGCACCTTAACTGTCGCTTGTTACAAACACATCGTTATAGGTTAGCACCACTAACCTATAACGTCTAGCAGTCTTGCAGTAACATGAAAATACATTTCCAATATACCTCAAAGACTTGATAACTGATAAAGGGATTTTTTCTTTCTTGAATACAGGCGCATCATTCCTTTTTAGTGTTGCTTAGGAAATGTCTGTGTTGCAGCTGTTTCTCAGTAGCCATGTATTGATACCTGAACCCTTAGTTTTCTTTCCCTGAGCAACACAAGCAAAATTGAAAATCTATTTGGTATAATGCATTTTTGTAGGTCAAGGAAAAATTGAGCGACATGAATGCTATTTAAGGAATGACTCTTGTTTCAAAATGATTGTATAACCCTTATTAAATGTAGTCGGTTCTGCAGCACAGCAAGAGCCAAACTCCAGAGCTTACCAGTGAAAGTGCATGCCATCAAGGATTGGTACAATTGTTGTGTAACACTCTATCAAAGAGCAGCTTTGCCCCAAATATTTGTCAATGCTATTAGGATGGACTCAAAGGACTGGTAAAAAAAGAAATAGGTGTTTTGCTTACTCAATAAAGGCCTGATTTTACCTGATTTCATAGTGTCCTTTGAGACACTATGATTAAATGTATGCATGTTTTAGTAGAAATGCTTTTTTAATTTTTGGACCATTTGGTCTTTATATATGTTAGTAAGCTGTTACCCCAAAACCAATATTTTGGTTTGGAGTTGTTGCTGGAAAGTTGAATTGCCTGGCTTATTAAATCATTTGGGGACTCCTTTGTTGAATATCTGCACCTGAGTTTTCACATAAACTAGCATGCTGTAGCTGCTATTATGATGGGTCTGATCAGGGGCGTAACTAGAAATCACAGGGCCCCATAGCAAAATCTTGTATGGGGCCCCATGATTTCTAGTTATGCCCCTTGCAGAGCCCACTCAAGATCCCACCTGAGGGTGAACTTGCAGAGCCCACCATAGACTCTCTATAGTGGGCTATGCAGGGTCACCCTCAGGTGGGCTGGTCGCACTCCTTACCTGTCCGCCTCCTCTTCCTCCATGGTCGCTGATGGGCCCGCCTCCTCCATCGCCGGGCCTCTTTCGTCACCGGGCCCCGCCTCCTCCCCTGCTGCCGACCACGAGCCCCTCCTCCTCCACTGCCTGGTCTCATTGACTCTGTCTAGAGGAATGCGCTGCTGCACAGATTACTGTCAGTGATCTGAACAGCGGCGTGTCTGTCTTCAGCCACCAGTGAAAGCCACCAGCAGAGGATCCCATAGCAACCCAGGCGGCCCCCACGGCATCTGGCCATGTCCCATAGCGGCCGCCTGGGTCGCTATGGTGATTGTTACGCCACTGGGTCTAATGCAGCTGGAGAATTGAGAACTAATTGACAGCGCTTGTCAAAGTGCCCAAAAAACATGCCAAGCAAGCAGTTATTGATTCGTTCTACTGACGCCCATTTAAAAATGAAATTTCAATGGACAGAGCCATTAAGAATATAAATAAATGCTAAGTTTTTAAAGATTTTTCTTGTCCTTTTGCTTTTACAGAACAGTGTGCTATCCACTGGCACCAACCGTAGTCGTAACTCTCCTATGCTAGACAGAGCAAATGCTGGTTCTGTTCAGAATGGCAAGGATAGGTAAGAACACACTTAGCCTTCTGCTTTTTTTTATACACAACATTGCCATTGCACTACACTAACACAATATAAAACCAAGATATGTTTAAAAAACATTTGTGAGTTTAACAGAGATATGTTTATAAACAATTTGCAGACCCATGTGTCCTTCGAATCTTCACGTACGTTCATTCTGTGCAAATGGAAACAAAGACTAACATTAAAAGTACATTATGGCCAATAGATTGCGCAAATATCCTAAAAAAATCTTTTTTTTCCTATTCTCAGCTCCATCTAATGGCCATAATGCAGTATTTTCCTGATATTACGTTTGTGGGTATGCAAATTTTTTTATACATGCACCTCAGTGTTTCGCATCTCTAATGGTGTTCTAGCTTCAGTTATTCTAGCATTTTGTCACTTAACCCTATAGAAAGTGAATTTCGGGCAAAAGGCATATTAATGTTTTGGCTCTGAGAAAATCAGCTTTCTTAATTGTACAATACTGGACACAGGCTCCTTTTAATCATACACTATAGGTTATAGGCAGCTACCTAGGTGATTGTACTCTGGAAGACAAAACTGTGAAACAGCTTGCATATCCCCTCGTTTCTTGCTAGTGTTTTTAGGTGAAGAACAAGCTGGTTTCTGGCCTATTTCTACATCAACATCCTGCCATTCACCTGTCCCTTCACAAATGGACAAGCTGACTTCTCGATGCTGATGTGCATCGAGAATCCAGTCAGACAATGCCCCGATAGCGATGGCTTACATCAACCTTTAGGGTGGTGCTAGAAGCCATATGGCCCAAATGGAAGCTAGTTTAATTCTGGCTGGGCCACAAAACACATAGTGGCCTTGTTTGCGGTCCATATCCACAGGATAGATAATTGGCAGACAGACTCTCAGTTTCTGCATGTGAGGGAATTGTGTCTCCATCCCAACTTGTTTCGGGAGATCTGTCACCGATAGGGAATACCAGATGGATCTTTTGGCATCCTGCTTCAATAACAAGGTGGACAGGTTCATGGCTAGGACCAGGGATCCTCCAGTCTTTGAAGTGGACGTGCTGGTGACACTGTTGCGTCAGTTTCACCTGATCTACTCCTACCCTCTGGTACAGATTCCTCCTGGACTGCTATGCAGAATCAAGATGAAAGACATTTTGGTGATATTGGTGGCGCCCAACTGGCCAAAAAGAAGCTGGTACTCGGATATACGCAGATTCCGGGGAGTTTCTGTGGCTCGGTGGTTCTACTGTGTCAGGGACCTGTGCCCCATTCTTTGTTTCTGGCTTTGATGGCTTGGCTGCTAAAGTGCAGGTCCTGGGGGACTGGGGCCTATCTGACTCCGTTATCCCTACACTGCTGAATGTTTGGAAGTCGTCTTTGCGGAAAGTCCATCATCGCACTCGTAAGGCCTACTTTGCCTGGCACGAGGAATGTGGGTTCCAGCTGAGACGGTGCTCATTGTGATGGAGCCTGTCTTTTCTCCAGTTTTATCTAAATCACCACCTGGTCTTGAGTACTCTCAAGGGCCAGATCTCCACATTGGCGATTCTCTTTTAAAAGTATCTGGCAGCTTACTCTCTGGTGAAGACTTTTCTACAAGATGTGACTCACTTTACTCATGTGGATCAGGCAGGTCATCACTAAAGCTTATTATAAATGCATAAACTTCCTTCCTTTCTGGTTAAGATTCACTGGACTAGGTCTGTCAGTGCTTCTTGGGCCTTTCAGCAACAGACGTCTGTTTCTCAGATTTTGCACGGATGCTATCTGGTCTTTGATTCATAGATTTGTCAAGTTCTACCAGGTGAATGTTCAAGCCTCTGCCGATGCCAGCTTCAGCTGTAACTTGCTTCAGGCTGCTCTGATTTTGGGATTGGTTCCCTTGTTTGTTCTTTTGGGCCTGTTTGCAGTGTTTTATGTGTTCCCCCACACCTTGTTTGTATTGCTTAGGGTCGCCCCAGGGTCTATGATTAAAGGAGTCTATGTCCTGTATTGTACGATTAAGAAAATAGGATTTTTAATTGCTTGTAAAATCCTTTTCTTGGAGTACTATACAAAGCCACCTGTTCTGCCAGTTGCTCCGATTGCTTGCTGCAAAACTGAAGATTGCTGAGGGAGGGAGGGGTTATATGGACTGTTACACAGTTTTTTCTGCCAGTATCCATCACCTAAAGGTAGCTGCATATAACACATGATCTATGATTTAGATGAGACTGTGTCCTGTACTATACGCAAAGAAAAAGATTTTACAGGCAAGTCAAAAGTCATATTAACAGCCCCTGCTAGAAGTATATTTAAGGCTTGAGAAAGCTGAATAACCTGTGCGTGGAATATGTTCGTTTTATCCCATGCACCTGCCAAGCAGTTCTGAAATACTTGCTGTGATACAGCAACAATTTTTTCAAAACATGCACCTATGCCTTCTGGAATTTTTCCCTTTTGTTTGACCTGGTTGTCCATGTGTCTTGCATTTAATCCACGTTCTGGGTCATGTAAAATGTCATTTTTCATTAGTGAGGCTTTCCATATTAGGGTATATAGAGTCATGCTGTGTCTGTTTTCAGTGTCATTGTTTCCTTCTATCTCTTGCAAAATGTCCTCTCCTTCCTTCCTCGCTTTCTCCTTTTTGTTAGTCTGTGCATCCATATCCTGTTTTGTATCTCCACATCCACCCTCCACTCCCAGTTTCTCCACGCCTGGTTCCCGTGCCTCCACCGCTTCTGCCCCAGCCACCTCAGCCCGGACCCGCCAGCACCAGAAATCCATGTCCACATCTGTGCATCCCTCCAAACCCACACCCTCCTTGGAAGGCAGCAGTGACCCGTACAGACAAAGGCAAGTTTAAAGGGAAATATGGGAAGGTGAAGTGCAGGGATAAATAGTAACCCTTGTAAGTATATAAAGGGTAATAGAATGTTAATTGATTTGTATAGTTTGAATAAATAATGGAAAAAGAGAAAAATAGCACTGCACTTCACAAACTCAAAAAATATATTCCTAAAATTTTATAAATTGTGAAATTATCACAAAGTGATGAAACAATTATGTGTTATCCACAACACCTGTGTTGCACTATGCCTGTGCTAATGATACTTCAGAAAAAAACTCTTGGTCTAATGGTCTTGACACTAGAAGCCATAATAAACATCGAAAGCAATGTGAATAACAAAAAAACTTATACTTGTGCTAGTACATCTCGTCGAATGTGTACATATTAAAAGTCCTGTATTAAATCTCACAAGTGATGTACAACTCCCACTTAATTTACATATCCCTACGTGTAGTCCATTCCTTCTTAATGCAATAAAGTCCTTGAAATATGTGAAAATATGTCTTCCAACTTTAATAATCCACACCCCCACCGTGAATGCATAAACAATTAGTGAATCTGTGCTCTCCACCTTGCTCAAAGATAAGATCTGGCCGCACTCACCGACTCCTATTGCTCACCATATTTCAGATGAACAAATAGTGCTTTGTTGATTGTTCATCTTAAATATGGTGAGCAATAGGAGTTGGTGAGTGCGGCCAGATCTTATCTTTGAGCACAGTGGAGAGCACAGATTCACTAATTGTTTATGCATTCACGGTGGGGGTGTGGATTATTAAAGTTGGAAGACATATTTTCACATATTTCATTATTGCATTAGGAAGGAATGGACTACACATATGGATATGTAAATTAAGTGGGAGTTGTACATCACTTGTGAGGTTTATTACAGGACTTTCTATATGTAGACATTCTATGAGATGTACAACACAGGGGTTGTGGATAACACTTTGTTTCATCACTTTGTGATAATTTCACAAATTATAAAATGTTTCTCACATTTTAGGAATATATTTTTTGAGTGCTATTTTTCTCTTTCCTATTTTGGGTGTACTTGCCTATTAAGCACAGCTGCTCTTAGAGTGTTATTTGATTCCTAGTGCATTTTATCTCTTTTTAACACTTTGAATATATAATGTCTGATTACTGTTCATAAAAGTTTGTGTTCATAGGATACAGTGGATTATCAGAAAAAATAGATGTTATAGTGATGGTGCCTGTTTAATGTTTTCTTCATTCTGTTGTATGTTGCTTCTTATTTAATGCAGTCTGTGGATCCTTTCAGCTGGTGTAAGAATTGGATAATTGGAAAACTTATTAGATATAACTTCACCACAGATATAAAAACAAAACACCAACCCCCCCCCCCCGTAAAAAAAAATCCTGTTGGTGAGCACACCATGGCTCACAGAAGTAGTTTAAGGTTTATTATCAAATCACAGGTTGGTCAGCCCCCCTCTGATGTTAATCTGACCCAAACAGAACCTTTAGTCATTAAACTGCCTACATGTGTTCTGTCCTAAAACAACCATTCTGTGTAGCAGATTGGGTTCAGTGGTCAACCTTGCTCCATAATGTCAAAGCCTTGTTTAAACGCAAATTATTATGTAGGACTATAGCCAAAGCAAGAATGCCATAAATGATGCAGTCTCTCACTAGCTTTAACAACCAGACTTTGTTTTTCTGAGTCCCCTTGTAAGTTTTATTACTTGTTGCTGGCAGTAGACCAATTGGTTTTTCAGTTTGTTTCAACAGGGTGAAAACACTGTTCGCTCTGTGGTGAAATCACTGCACCATTGTTAACATGTGGACAAAACAATTGTAAATGGGCATGTCCTTTTTAGATTTGTAGTTTCAAACAAACAAAAGACAAAGTCTAGTTAATACTTTTCAGCAATCCAACAACTCTTTCCTTAAAGAGAAAAAAAAAAAGTTTTTAACCATATGAATGAAAGGTGACAATTGTGAGTACCTCTCAGCTTGCCTCAACTGCTACCTTAGTTGAACAGCTTGGCCTGGATTTAAAGAGATGACATATCTGTGAAATAACTAATAGTATTAATAATAATAATAATTAAAAAGCAATTAATACTCAGAATAGTACCATTATAGGTAATATCCCCATAGAGAAAAATATCTAATACTATAATTGGCCTGTAGCTTTTATGATTCTACTCAGGTTTCAGGTTGATGAAGGGGATTCTTAATTACGGTCTATCTGGAGTTTTTTTACACTGTGCAGAGGTTGGAGAAGTGCCACACTACTCGAGGAATTCAGCTGTTACCTGTCAAATTTGTGTTATGATACTAAAGGGCAGGGATGACACAGCTTGCAAAATGCGATCTTGCCTAAATACATTTTTTTTTTCAGAGGGATAGCATTGTCTAAAGGTGCCCATACACCTTACGATTATCGGACGATAATCGTATGCGATCGACTTTTCGTCCGATAATCGTATGTGTGCATTGCAGTGTCCGACCAACAATACTGTACAATCGTACGACTTTTGACGGTCAAGCGTGTTTGAAAACTTTGCTAGATCGTACGATTGTCGTAAGGTTGCTGGCGTTTCCGTCCGTCAATGTCAAAGTCGTACGATGTACACTGCGCTTGCGCTAACGAAAATACGGCAAATCAATTACCGCATTTCGTCCAGGTGCTTTTGGTTAATTATGGCTAAATGATTCTTGCGATCATCGTGGCAGGATGGGGCTGCCGTACGAAAATCGTACGATTATTCGATCATCGGACGAAAAGTTTCGTCCAATAATCGTAAGGTGTATGGGCACCTTAAGGGATGTCATTATAACCAGCAGCAGAAGGGAGCTATTTTAACAAACATCCAGCAGCATAAGTGTTCTTTTAGCAGAGGCTAGGAGATGCTAAACTAAAGGTGCAATTTATCTTGAGGTGCCAGGGGTGCTAGTTTTCTTGTTCTTAGTACAATCCTACCCAAATGCCTGGACAAGTTTTGAATGTGCTCAGCAGTCCATGATGACTTGTCCTGAGTATATAGCTAACTTCTGATTTGCTAATATCATGAGATGGTAATGCTTAATATACACCACATCATGCTAAACTATGCATGCCCAAATGCTAGTCAGCACAAGGGTCTTGGTGGGCGTCCTTGTAGTAAAGTAAAGCACCCTGTGTAGCTAAATGTGTCACAAAGTCCTATGTCTAGCCATTTTAAATATAGTATATGCTCAGGAACTCAGTAGTCTCATTGCCTGGTGAGACTGTATACATTTTTCGTGCTAGTTATTTTTTGTAATCTCATTTCCCTATTTTTTTTATTGATCTTTTACACTATTTAGGAGTGTGTAAATGTGGTTTTTGTTTCCTCCTGTTTTAGCACGGCCGCCCAAAGAGTCCCTGTTGCATCTCCATCAGCTCACAATATCAGTAGTGCTGCCCCAGAGAGGACCAACTTCCCTCGTGGAGTATCAAGTAGAAGCACTTTTCATGCTGGTCAACTTCGCCAGGCCCGGGACCAGCAAAATACGCAGTTTGGAGGTGTAACACCTGCTTCTCCTTCTGGCAACAGCCAGGGCAGGCGCGGAGCCACCGGGAGCATATTCAGCAAATTCACATCCAAATTTGTACGAAGGTAAGAAACCAAAAAAAGGATTTAAATTTGATGCTAGTACAAGTAGAAGGGCATAGCAATACATTGTTATAATAGGAATAAAGATAACATTCAGTAAGAATCAAATTATTACTTTGGTATAGATTTTAGAGATGGAACAAGGTTTATAGCATAGGTTCAGGGAAATCTAAAGTGTAAAATTGTTTGTAACAGCTTTAATTTAATAATCCTAAAGCAGACCAGCAGTGAAGGGGTTAGAATACAGGAATGTCAGATTTTAGCCATAATTTAAATTTTTCCTGCCCCCTCACTTATCTGTTTTTTTTTGTTTTTTTTTTTCTGTTTCCTCCCATCCATCTATCTAGAAATCTGTCTTTCAGATTTCCCAGAAGGTAGGCATGTGTTTCCCACCTCTCTCACTGTTCTCAACTTCTAGCACTGCTACCTTTTCTGTTGTCCTTCCAAGCTGCTGAATTTAATTGTTAATGTCCTGTGCCTCTCATGAGGGCATCGTGTGCATATTGTGACTCTCTATGAGGAATGAGTCAGGATCAGAACCTTATGGTGGCGTCAAGTCACACTTTTACATCTAGTGTTCTACATACTTTACTGGGTTCTGAGCTGTCTCAAATCTCTGCTTGTTTCTTCCTGGGTGTAGGCTTTCATTTCCAGGTCTCTGTTACTGCATCTTATTACTCTTCTCTTCATGCTGATAGTATTCTAGACCTTCTCCTTTGTGATATCCTTTGCACACTGCAGTCAGAATTACTTTTTTTTTTGTACATGTCCTGCTGACCTTTCTATGCTTATCTTGTTAATTTACTGATATATTATTCATTGTGGCTTTTTTTTATAAAGTAGAGCAAACGATAATGATGGAGATCTTGACAATTCCAATTTTTTTTTCTAAACCAAACTAATTGTTAATGGTGCATCAGCATCATGTTAATTGACCAATTTGTCATCAATTTGCAAATAGTAAATTTACATTAAATTTTTAGGCCTCACAATCATAGGCCTATGATGACATAAAGTACACAAATTCATGGGGAATTATACATTCATCATGGCCTTCTAGAAAGTCGTTTTTTTGCAACATTAAGTTGCACATATAATCTTTACACAGAATAGTCATACCATTTGGATAGCGTTTCAGAGCAACCCCTGCAGTGTCCTAAGGATGTTTCCCAGTTGGTTCCTGACACTTCTTGACAGCTTTTATCAAGGAATGTAGAGTGGGACTTGTGTTTCTCCCTCCCCCCCTGCACTTTTCCATACATGCTCTTGCAGGTACTTGTGCTTCCCACCCTTCACCACAGACACCTTGTCATCTACCATCTGGACATAACTTGGATCATTCAACGTGTGGCTATAGGAGACATCTGCTTTATACACCACCTGCTTTCTGCATCGAAGAGATTAAGAGAGCTGTATTAGCTGCTTCAGCCTGTGCCACCTTTAATACAGTGTCAAGGTCTGAAATGTGTGAATCCTATTCTGGAAGGTTGATTAAATGGGGAAGTATTTATAAATTGCTATCAACGCAATTTACATGACCATCTCTTTAAAATCAAAAGCTTAAATAAGAAATAATTGATGGTTTTTATGGTATTCGACATCTCCAGAGAATCACAATTGCACTGCAGAGAGAGACCCTATAGTGTTTTAGTTCAGATATGCATTAAATGCAAGTTGTTGAACCAATATACATGAAACGCCTGCCTCTGTTTTTCAACCTGGTTAGTAATGGAGCATCACTAATTTAAAAATGCATTTGAGATCAGTGACTGAAAATTTGGGATCTCACAGTATTAGGTTCACATAGGACATACTTGTACCTCATGTCATAAGTGGTCATGCTGAATTTGTCTTGCTGAGACTGTTGAAGTCTTAAAGTGACACTAAGCGCAGGAGTTAAATTGTAAAGATGTATTCAACTACCTAAAGTTTTAACAAAATTGTATCTTTGTGTATACAGACATATATATATACGCTACACCTGAGATTACAAGCTACTTTTTTTGTTAATAGTTAAGGTACTTGAATGCATTTTTAAGATTTAACTTCGGAGTTTAGGGTCAATTTACATAACTGTGTTAATTCTACCACCTCCCACTACAGCCAGCTATGTTTCTTGTAGCTTTTCTTTGACCTCTGTCCTGTCTGCCTTGTAACCCCTTTACCTGCTGACAGATGCCTGAAAAGTCACACCCCTTCACTGCTGGGGCCTGTAGGCTTAGCATGCATGCTTTTTCTTTTTTTTTCTCTATAATGCAGATCAGTTATTTGTATTTTTTGTTTTGTGCTTTAAAATGTTGTGCATGCAAGGGTGTAGTATGGGATTTATTTTTCACACAGCAATGTCTGCACAATTTATACACTGACCGTTGGTCATTTATAGCCCTTTTTTTTTTTTCCCGTTCAAAATAGTTTTATTAGTTTTGGTTGCAGTAATAAGTATTCACACGTTTACATTCATTGTCAGGCTTGGTTACATGACAAGTAATGTATACAGTAAAAGAAAGATCTCGCATTAAAAAGAAAAAATCGATCAATAAAGTCTATGAAAATATCAGGTAGTCAATATAACTACTAGTAACATTTTAGTAGTGACATTATGTGCAGAAACTCAGTATGAATTGTCTGGTTTTTAATCGGAGGGGAGGAAGGGTTGGTCACATGGGTATCGGAGGTAGGGTAGCCTAGTGAGGGAGGGGGAAGGACAAAGAAGGGGAGAGGAATATAGTACATGGGATAAAGATATTTGTTCAAAGCTTCCGGTAGTAAGCATTTATAGGTCCCTGACTCCATATTGAAGGAGGGGGGAAGGTACGACTCAATCCATGGCTCCCACAGCCATCCTCCTTTTTTTTTTTTTTTTTTAACATTGCTTGGGGAAGAGTAAAGCTGCCCATACACATCAATTTCAGTCATTTTTTTTTTTTTGCTGAATTCCCTGAAATTTGATTTGTGCTGGCAGCACCCAGTTGCGAAAAGCCAATGTCTCAATCGAATTTTGTCAAAGGAACCAAGTATAATATTCTTGGTCACTTTTTGGGTATTTAGACAGCCGCAGGGGAGATCCCTTCATCTACGCTCTTTAGCGTGCATAGGACAAAATGAGTGATTTCCTTACGGGCTAAACAAGAAAAGTCTTAAAAAACATGGAAAGCTTTACAACCTTTGTCAGTTTTACTGCCTTGTGTCTCCCTGCTGGCAAATAAGCCCTCACTTCCTGTTCCAATGCAAAAGTATCAGCAGAGAATATGACGATATCTCCAAAGAGGGACACACCAATAAAAACACTTTTGTATTGCCATCTATGTCCCTCTTGGAGGTTTTCCCTGATGTCACAGGGAAGTGAGGGGAACTCTCCCCAGCCAGGCATTTAACATCAATAAAAACCTCCAGAGGTTCTAACCCTTCCTCACTATTAAAAAAAAATGCTTTGGTTTCCATGCCCCACCCCCTTAAATCATTTGTTTGGTCCAAAATGTATATGTAAAGGAAAATGTTAGATTTCTACTTGCGTTACCCTGGTTTTTCACACGGCTGCACTTGACATCACTGGGAAGATTGCTGGGGAATGCAGAGCAGGTACAATTTCATGAGAAAACTCTAAAGGCCTTTGCAGGAGTGTCTTCTGTTACTTTTTTGGCATGCTTAGCATTCCCCAGATTCTTGCCAGGAGGAGAGTGGTTTTACCCTTACCTAAGCACAGGCAAATGACAGGGTTAAGGTATGTACAAATATACCTTTTCTTCTTTAGGCTGGGTTCACACCTAGGCGTATTGAATATGCGCGGTTTGCGTCGCACGTTTTTACAGCGATTCACGGTAAAAAAAAGTGCGACAAACGCGCGTTTCCATGGGCTACTTGGCTGTATCCCAATGGAAACGCGAGACCAAAACGCCCCAAAGAAGTACATGTACTTCTTTGGGCGTAGGCCGTTTTGTATCGCGTACGGGCGGAAATACGGCAAGGTGTTTACCTGTTCTGGCTAATGACACACATGCACTGATAATGATGTCAGTGATTCTCTGTGCATGCATGACATTAGGCTGTTTTTTGCGTTTGTATATATGTGTGTGTGTATGTATGTATGTATGTATGTATGTATATGTGTATATATATACGCTCGTGCAGAAAGTTTCTTGGGCAAACTCACCGGCCCAAGTGGCTCCGTCGGCTAACGAAGGGAAGGGGGGAGGAGTCCGGTGACGTCACGGACATCAACGTCACCGGACTCCTCCCCCTTCCCTTCGTTAGCAGATGGAGCCACTTGGGGGAGGAGTCAGGTGACGTCACCGGATTGCCGACGGGACTCCCGGAAGCCGGCGGAGAGGTGAGTGTTTTCATTAGCGATCAAAAGAAATGTAATCGATCAAAAAGTTTAACGATTAATGGAGAAATTAATTGTCAGTCTCCGAAGCCCCTATATATATTGGACTGCTTTTGGATGTCCCTAAGGTTAAGGACTTCCTGTCCCCCCCAAAGGATGAGAAAGAAAACAGAATTTTTGTATTCACTATAAAATACCTTTCTCGAAGTTCATTGAGGGGCACAAGTCCCACCTCAATATGTTTATGATCATGCTTTCAGTACTGCTTTGCTTTAAAACTGTACCGAGAGCATGGTCATAATTTACTGATATTTTAATATTTGTATCAGAGCTGTTGAAATGGTAAATTACTATGTCAGGGCCATTGTTTTACCTTTTGCAGAGCAAGCACTTGCCTCCAAATACAGATACCTATCCAGTATTCTTACTCATTGACATAGCAAGTTATATTTATCTAGCTATTGTATTCAGCAGCTATTGTATTCCGCAGCCACTGCTCCAGTGGCTGCTAAATACCCAAATAGTGTTTACATCTGATTGGATGTTTTGTATTGTTTGGCCAATAATTTTCCACCTGGCTCCATCAAGAAAAATTTGATTTTTTTTTTCCCCATGGACATTTGTTGATCTGGGTGGTGCCTACAGAGCCACAGCTTGAATTTCAGTAGTGTAGTCGGACACAATTCAATCTGCGGGTGGCCAACTTAGGTAGGAAAAAGTGTTTTAGAATGCTATAAATGATGCCTTTTCCTTCCTACACAAACTATATATTGGCTAAACAACCAGTCAGTCATCAGTGATTTCACGGTCTTATCAGTAGCTAAATTTGTAACTGCAGTCCCAATGTGTTTCATTGTCTATGCACAAGAAGAGCTTACTGTCTAGTGTACCACCACGGTTACATACTATTATGATAGATTTCTGACATTCTGCAGGACTATACAGGGAAAAACTCTGAGCCATACAAATTTAGCCAATTCACCAGAGGAGCTTACCCTCTAATGGCCCCAGCACAGTCACTTATTATTTTATGTAGCTCTGACATATTCTGCATGCCTGTACAGAAAATCAAGTCAGTCTCTGCATCTGTGGAGCTTACACTCTGTTACCTCCACAGTCGCACACTATATTCATAACGGATGTGGACATTTCTTTGTCGCCATGGCAACTAAAAACTCAACCAGGTCATTGAGAGCTATTGCTGGCGGGGAGGCGGCCCTGATATGCCGGGGCTATTGTGCAATGCTGGCTGTCAATACAGTCACATTAGCTGCTATGTTCTCTGTCGGCTTTTCCTAACAATAGCCCTGGCATTTCATTGCCCATCTTCCCACTGGCAATAGGTGTATCAACATGTTGGGGAAAACCCCATGCTCAAATGATCCCTCCCCCTTCTCTAGCTGACATTTTAACAGCTCCAGGACCATGACTGGTCTGTGTTGCGAGAGACAGGCACAGCGAAAACAATGCAGCCAAACCATGGGGACATTTTGGCACTTTCCGTTTTATTATTTACTGTTTTTAAAGTTCTTCTCATATTCTGTATTTTTTTTTTCATTGTTAAAATAAAGTCCTTATATTAGCAGAGCAAATGTTTTGCTCACTTTCTATCGGCTATGAGTATCTTTCAGCTGCCTACCGTGTTTCCCCAAAAATAAGACACTGTCATATTTTTTTTGGCTCAAAAAAAACACACTAGGTCTTATTTTCAGGGTGGGTCTTATTTTTTTTTAATGTACAACAATCCACACTTATTCATGTAGAAAAGTCTACATGTATTTATGTACAAAATTATAGTGATCAGGGCAATCAGGGGTGCCGTACCTTTCCAAGCGAAATTTGCTAACCAATCACTGGCCAGAAGGAGCGAAGCGCACTTTCATTATCGATTCCTCACAGACGGAGTGCATTTGGTATCACTCCGCCTGTGACAGGAGCAGGCGCTATAGAGGAAACATCGGCTTATGCGGCTCTGCTCCCTCCGGTGCCGTCTCGCTTCCTCTAGCGATGGCTTCATTTGCACCGCTGATTCTCTCCTGCCTCTCCCACGGCTCTTCAAGTTCCCACTTATGCCACCACCGGCCCTGGGAATGGTCACAACTAGTCTTATTTTCGGGGTAGGTCTTATATTTTAGCAATTCCCAAAAATAGTACTAGGTCTTATTTTCGGGGTAGGTCTTTTTTTCAGGGAAACGGTATATAGTCATATGCAGGTTGCATTGTGCTGGTGGCTAATTTCGGTTGAGATTTGTAGGCCTGTTCTAATCTTTTTTTCTCACCAGAGGCCTTCAGCAAGGATGCTGATTGCACTCTTTCCAACAGATTGTGCACATAAAAAAATCAGCCTATGAAATAGGAGTATAAATGTAAATTGAAGAATTACATTAAAGCAAACTTCATAAGTATTCACTAAAAAATACACAATTTATTTCTGAAGTTGTGTTTTTGATGGGGGTCGTCTCATATTCATTAGTTTTTTAAGGAATAAATATTTTGAAGGGTAATTGATGCTCTGCAGAGTTCACAGTTCACACACTGAACCTATTTACCTCTCTCTTTTGAGGAACCCAAATGAACCAGAAGGGAAAGATCGAGTGGAGAGCACCAGGTGAGAGCCAACATCACTGTTTTAAGTATTTAATAACCCCTCCAGTTTTTTAATCCACTTCTCATTTCTAGTGGCTTTTTCTGTTTGATGTTTTGTATCTATTAACGCAATGCTTTTTTTTTGTTTTCTTTCATATTTGATAATCTCCCTGTAAACTCTTTTCTCATTTATCTTCCCCTCTGGGGTCTGGTGCTTCAGCTTCTTCTGCTGATTCTTATGTTGATCAGATCAAGATTGTTCTTTCATTGCACATGAACAGTTACTTCTGTAGAGCATCTGTCTATTGCTTCATTGGCTGTGTGTAAAGCAGTTTTATATTCGAATTCAGTTTGGTGGAATCCATGGAAAGAATTTTAGCAGTGGTTGTACTGAGCTGAACAGAATGCACACACTAAGTGTTACAAGCACATGAATGTATAGATAAGCATTAAAAAGAGTTTTTTTTAATCTTTGGGATTTTTTCCCATAGGACTCCGATAATGTTTCCGTTCTACTTCTAAGCCATCCTTGGAATATTATATTAGCCTTCTGTTTTCCTGAAATTTATGAAAACATGGATTTGTTAATTTTAAATGAGGAGATAGAAAAATAGTCTAGATACTCTCCGGCTTTTATCTGGAGTTTCACAGACCTGTGATCACAAACTTCAGACTTAGCCCTCATTCACACAACAGATCTGTGCTGCTTCCACGGCCGTATCGGGCCGCTCCTGGGAAGGCAGGTGCAGCAGCCTGTTCTTTATGGGAGTACGTGGCCGTACGCTCGCCCGAACTGCACGTCTGTCCCTGCTCGGACACAGACAGGTTGAGTGTATGGCCGCGTACTCCCATAGAGAAGAACAGGCTGCTGCGTGTAATCACACGCAGCACCAGTCCTTCCTGGGAGCGGCCCGATGCGGCCATGCACGCAGCACGGATCTGTACCGGCCGGCTGTTAGTCGTGTGAATGAGGGCTAAAGGTGCCCATACACCTTACAACCATCGCAAGACTTGTCTTGCGATGGTTGTAAGCTAATTAAAAGCTTGTACGATCTGCCCATCTTGGACAGGCAGATCGTACTTGCGATCATCGAAAGCCCGCCGCGCTAAGGGGCAGGCTTCCGATGACTGCAATGCTGAACGGGCAGTGTCTTACGAGCATGCCACAAACCCGCTGACAATTGTACGATTCTCGGCGGGTTTTGAAACATGCTCGTTAGACAAAAGACGTGCGACCGTACGGTAGAAACGGTCGCACACCTTCCATACACCTGACGATTATCGTAAGATCGCGGGATTTCCAGCGATTATCGTACGATAATCGCAAGGTGTATGGGCACCTTTTTAGGGTGTTTTTCTTTCACATTCCTTGCTTTCAGATGAGCAGCAATAGAAAGATCACAGCAGATCCCTATTACCACAATTTTTTGGAAGAATAACCACAAGCCATTGTCTGAATTGACTGTTCTGTCCTTCATTTTGTTTTCCTTTTATTGTCTAGTTATTTTAACCCCTGCTTTGTTGGAAGAAGTAATATGACCGAGATACTAAAGTCTATTTTTAAAAAATTCTAAAAGTTCCCAATCCATAACACATATGCCATACCGAACACAACCACTATTTTTGTCTAGGCAAGTTAAAACTCTATTTTTCAACACATTAGCAATTGGTCAATGTTTTAAATGTTTAAAGTGTATCTAAACCCAAAAACAAAAATATAGCAGCTTACCACTCAAATGCATTAGTTATCTTTTTTTCAGGATTTTTTCCTTTTATTTTTCACCTGGCAATCCTGAGAATAACGCACTTCCGTTTCTGCGTGGCTATTTTCGTTCCTCCACTATCTATTAAAGGGCCATAGTTGTTACATTAGGCTGGACTTCACCTATGTCTGCTTTTGTTCATCTCCATTACATGGGAGTTTATGGGATTAGTAGTTTAAGAAAACTAAGATTGTGTTTGGCTTCCAGTTCATCTCACAGCAAGTGACATGGGCACTTCAGTTCTGGTAAGATTAACAGGTATTTTTCTTGTTGAAAATGTTCTTAGTTTGAACATAGAAAACTAATCCAGCCAGCACATCTAAGCACTGGTATTTTGCAATATATTACATTTTTGTTGTTGGGTTTAGGCATGCTTTAAGTTTAACATTTGCAGTTTTGTATTAAACTTCAAAGAGATTAGTGGTTCCCCTGACCATGCTTTTATGGTCTTGCTTCTCAGAAGTATGGCACATTTGTTTAGGCATCATCTAGGATTAGCATTTACTTTCTACGCCAATTTGTTCAGTTCGTGATACAATCTCATACGTCCTGGTGCCTGCACAGTGGTATTTATTTTCTTAACTGTGTCCACATGTTGTCTTGCACACAATTGCCACTTTGCTGCTGCGTCTAATTTTGTGTTACATTTATAGTAAGTGACAACTACAGGAGGATGAAAATGCACGGTCCTGCCTGAAGCAGACTGATGGCGATTAATTGATCTTCTTCTAAGGTCTTGCATTAGTCACTTGACTGGAGCTCAAGGACTGCTATTCATATATTGCAGCTGTGTAGTAATAACATTTCAGGAGTTTATTCACGCAGGTTTGGTAGGTTGTTGGTAGGTCTGCTCTTTATATGCATAAAAGTAACATGCATGAACAGCAGGACACACAAAAGGGTATGCATTATCCAACAGTGTGATAATGCTTATATCCCATTAAAATAGAGGACATGGCAGTGTAGCTATGTGAAGAAAATGTGAACCAATGTAGAAGATATTGATGTATCCCTTTCTGTATATTACACAGAAATCATATGCCTTGTAAGGCTGGCACTGGCACTATGTGCTTGTGATTATAATGATCATACAGTGTCGTTTAGAAATTTTGCATTGCATATCTTTAACAATTTAAAAAAAAATTTAAGCTCATTGATGCCCTTATATAATCTTTATTAGCAATACCCTCCACCAAATGTTTATTATAGCTGCAGATGGGACCTACATAGCAGTTTGTTTTCACCTCCTCTGTAAACATAATGTTTTCTGTTCAGGTTTTGCTTAAATAGCCCTCTTTAGATTAGCCACACCATTTAACTGTAACCATGTGACTTTGCCACTCTAAAATGTGCAATTTCTTCTGTTGAAGTCATTGTTTTTTTGGCTTCCGTGTTTTGAAAAGTTCTCATGTTGCATGAGCCGACTACATTTGTGCTTTAGATAAGACATTCTGCTGTAGAATTTTATGATATAAATTGAAATGCATTAAAAGGGAACTAAAGCTAAACCCTTTTTTTTTTTTGCTAAAGTTCTCTTTTGAATCACAGGAATACTTTTACTAATGTACCTCTGTGACCCAAACTCTCCATTAAGCAGCCTGCTATATGACAGGCAGGGGCGGATCCAGAGTCTATTCTCGGGAGGAGCACTGCCAGAAAATTAAGTAGATCCCTGGATCCAGACAAGCCCAGCCTCCTGTTTTCCACGCTGTCAAACTGCATGCAGCGTGTGCTGGTTACTACTTAAACCGGCGCCCTGTGTGCAGCTTCTGAGAAGAAACGCTATTAGCATAGCGAGGAAGCCGGCTGCGCATTTTGCATCACTCACGCTACGCTAATAGCGTATCTTCTCAGAAGCTGCACACAGCACGGCGGTTTAAGTAGTAACCAGCACGATCTGTAGGCAGCTTCTGACAGCGGAGGAGACGGGAGGCTGGGCTTGTTGGTGGATCCAGGCATCAGGTGAGTATTAAAAAACAAAAATGTTGTATTTTATGTTCCTGGGGCACGTACAGCTCCGTGCTGTGTGCACAGCCGTATCGGGCAGCTCCCGGGAAGGAGAGGTGCTGCGTATGATTAGTATGCAGCCCCTGTCCTTCTCTATGGGTGTATGCAGCCGTACACCCCTCTACGCTCACCCGCCCAGCACGTCCGTATGGGTGCGCTCACCCACACCGATGTACAGGACAGGTGAGCGCAGGGCGGCGTATGGCCGCGTAGTCCCATAGAGAAGAATGGGGGCTGTGTACTAATCACATGCAGCACCTGTCCTTCCCAGGAGCTGCCCGATACGGCCGTGCACACAGCACGGAGCTGTACGTGCCGGCCAATTCCAGTGTTAATGAGCCCTTAATGTTCCTGGATTTCAAAAAACTGGTCACCTTACCCTTGTGGTCAGTGGGGGCTCTGCTTGGTAGTGAGGGCTCTCCTGTGGCCGCACCAGCCAGTTTGCCCGCAGTAGATCCTGAACCCCCTGCGCTAAATGAAGCCCCTGGCCGCAGGGGCAGTGGCTCCCTCCACCGCCTCTCTGCCACCTGCACCGCTACAGATGCGTCTCTCTAATCGTGCAGCCGCTCGCTTCTCAGGGGTATACCGAGGCGATCCGGGCTGGCTGGAGCAGGCAGATGCGGCCCTCTAATCAGGTATGTTAGAGGGCTGCACGCTGAGGCCTCCCGAGTACCCCTTGAGGAGTGAGTGGCCGCACAATTAGAGAGCCGCATCTGTAGCGGTGCATGTGGCAGAGAGGCGGCGGAGGGAGGGAACCATTGCACCTGCGGCCGGGGGCTTTATTTAGTGGGGGGTGACGCCCCCGGTCCCTCAGCTGGTGGTATTCAGCATTGCTGTATAATCATTATACAGCAATGCTGAATACCACCCAGCTACAGTCCCCCAATCCCCCCAAGCCAGCCATCACCCACAGACTCCCCAACCTTACCTACATCCAGGCTGCAGCACCTCTCCTTGGCGGCCAGTGGAGGGGAGGGGTCACAGGAGAGGGTCCTCACTCACGCTGACCCACATACCAGGATGTCGCTGTGGCTTTGGCTGCCTGCAGAGACGGATATCGGCTCCGCCTCCACCAGGCTAACAGTGATCACTGTCAATGACAGGCAGCCGCCTGTTGTATTTGGATCCCCGCACAGCACACACACCGGAACATACAGCTGTCCCTCTGTGTGTGTGTCACAGACTTTACTGCAGTTCATTGTACACAGTTTTTACAATGAACCGCAGTAAAGTCTGTGACACGGAGCTGGAGGAGGGACAGCTGTCAGTACACACTTCGGGACGGGTGTCTGCGGCAGAACGTGGATGGAGAGTCGGGAGTCAGGACACAATGTTGCCCCCACCACCACCCCCCCCTGGATCCGCCACTGATGACAGGTCAGAGCCATGCTGCAGCCAAGAACAATCCAAACAACTTTGTTAGTCTCCACCCCGCTGCCTGATTGACAGCTGGCTCTGCTCGCTCCCTATCCTGTCTGTCCCTCCAATGAGCGCTGGAGAAATTGAGAAAAGATTGGAGGGGAATCCCTAACAGACACCTCTCTCTGCAAGCAGAAGACCATGACCTGAGCGATCTGAGCTGGTGGAACGAAGAGGGGAGGGGGGAATCACTGCAGGACTGACAGACACCACTCTGATGATCTATAGAGCCCAGGCTCTAAGTATTGGGAAGAGTACATTTTACTCTCCTATTATCCTTCAGTTGCTGCAAGCTATCTAAGCCTTCGGCCAGTCATTCCAATATACTCCGTTCACCATATTGCACAATTTAAATTTTGGTGCAGTTTTTTTTTCCCCCTCAGACAGCGACCCACAGACCCAGGTCCCTGTTTCACCAGAGAACACCAGGGAATTACAAGACTCGGTTAACAAATTGCCCACATTAAACCAGCCTGTTTTAGACATGACACTGAAAAAGGTGTGTTTTTGAGAAGCTCTCTCCATGCAGATGTTAAATCTTGTGCATCAGTTTAAAACATGAACACAAAACATGAGGAACAGAGACGGCCACATTAAGAATATGCTGAGTGATTTTGCAGCCACCTCTATTGAGCTAGTAATATCTCTGACGGGGATGATATTACTTGGCTGAAATCTAAAATAGCTGATCTGGTGGGACCATTCACATAAAGTTTAAAATCTGGGGTATTCCGGAGTGTGAGAACCCAACCAGATTAAAATCTTTCTTAAACCGATCGCAGAGGCACTACCTCTTATATTTACACTTGTGATGAGAACCTCGGGCAGAGACAATAGGAAAACAAGCAGACATTCAGGGCATAATGTTTAATCAACCTTCTCATAAAATCTAATTATTTAGAGCTGATGTGATATTACTTACAGAACCGGATTCTCTTCAGGTGGTAAATGTAAATTGTGATGACTCTTTAATGAGGCCTCTTATTACAAGGTTGATGAAAGTAAATTGTGCAATCTTGGGGTGGGGTTAGAAGTAGCCACTTAAACTTGCATACAATCTACCCTAGAAGAGCAATATATACCCATAACTAAGAATCTTCTTTAATATACATGGCCAGTTTTGAACTCTTGATAGCAGACCCAAACTGAACTCTAAAGAAAGAATGGGAGATGTGGATTTTCTCACCAAGAAGCTGCGTGCCTCCTCTGTAAGATCCCTTAAGTCTTTTGACACAGATGATAGAGTAGGTAAATGCAAACAAGAAGAGTCTCCTTTGTTAGTTGCTACTACGGTCTACTAGAAACGTTGTACTGTAAATGATTTATTCAAAAACTCTTCTCAAGGTAATGTACTTTCTTTACTTATGTACCATCTCAGACAACCAAGCATGACTGGTCACCACATATGGTGCTGCATTGAAATTATTGTTAGTAATGTTAGCTCAAGGTACTTCTTTTTTTTTTGTTGTGCTCTCGCACAAGGTATTTCTTTTTCTTGTGTACTTAGTATAGGCAAGTTACAATATAGGAAACACATAGGCAACTATACAGCTGAGCCTAACTAAATGTTAGCGATTCACCAAGGATGCTGCTTGCCACATTTGCCTCCTTGTATTTTTGTTTTTATCTCTTCTGTTTGGAAGCATCACTCCCATTCCCAGGTATTTCTGAGATGCTAACACTTGATAATGTAAGTTGAAGGAACACCTCTTGTGTACCTGAAGATATTTTGCTTGCTTTCTATGCCTTCCATGTTTCTAGCTGTTGTATACAATGCCTGGCCAAAAAATGTCACACACTGTAATATTTCGTTGGACTGCCTTTAGCTTCATTTACAGCACACATTTGCCGTGACATTGTTTCAATAAGCTTATGCAATGTCATAACATTTATTTCTGTCCAGAGTTGCATTCATTTTTCACCAAGATCTTGTAGTGATGATGGGAGAGTTAGACCACTGTGTAAAGTCTGGACTAAACTCTGTGGTGGCCAATTAATGTGTAAAAAATGTCCCATGCTTCACGAATTTCACAATTTGAGTCCAATGATCCTGTCATTCTCATCTTGGAATATGCCCGTGCCATCAAGGAATAAAAAAAATCCATTGCTGGAAAAACCTGGTCATTCATTATATTCAGGTAAGCAGCTGACCTCATTTTTGGGGACATAATGTTGCTGAACCTTGAACTGACCAGCTGAAGCAACCCCAGATCATAACACTAAATCCAGGTGGTGACGTTTTTTTTTTGGCAAGGCAGTTTATATTGATGTCGGAACTACCAGTATTTGATCTTCAGCACAGACATTATTGTTGTATCACAATATGTTGTCGATTTTCTTAGGCCTAACCTGACGGTGGCAGAAAAGGAGAAAGAGGACCTGAGGGATTCCAAGCCTCGCTCATTGCGCTTCACGTGGAGTATGAAAACTACCAGCTCAATGGAACCCAATGAGATGATGAGTGAAATACGCAAAGTGCTGGATGCCAACAGTTGCCAACATGAACTACAAGAGAAGTACATGATGCTTTGTATCCATGGTTCACCAGGGCATGACAACTATGTACAGTGGGAAATGGAGGTGTGCAAGCTTCCACGTCTTTCCCTAAATGGTGTGCGCTTCAAGAGAATCTCTGGCACCTCTATGGCATTTAAGAACATTGCCTCCAAAATTGCCAATGAACTCAAACTTTAACTAGGCTCCAGCTTTCAGACTGAAACTGCAAAATGAGACACTTACAGCCCTCCTGCCATAGCAGGCCAGCACTCTTAGCCAAGTGGATGCAGGAAGTTCCATTTGTTTCTCCTTGCTGGCCGTCCTGGACGGACATGCCAAACCAGGCTTTGTGGTTGGGAGTTGGCAGGGTACCCTGGGAATGACTACTGCTCCTTTCAGTGTAGGTTTTGAGGGTATTTTATTTGAAATAGGTTTATAATTTTTTTTATTTTAAAGATTGGGGACGGGGCTCAGATTATCTAATAGACTGGTAAGAGGAAGGGTTGTAGAATGAGATTGTAGACTGGTTGCCCTTCCTATTAATGTGTGTCAGCTCTATGATGCAGTTTTTCTGGTACAGTTTATAAAGCTGAAAATGAGAGCTTGAAGGGGTTTCCCCCTTTTTGTCTACAGATGAGTTCACATTGTACAGAAGGAATATAAAAATAATGTACAATGTCTTTGTACATAAGAGGTTTAAAAATCGTCATGACACTGAACTAATAGCTCAGGGTGCCCTTAATACACAGGTACAGGTAAAGACATGCCCACCGTGGAGAAATATTGTGCAGGTAACTAGACTTGTATGATGGAAACCTGGTGGGCTGCCACTGCTTTTATAAATATACTTGCTAGGTTTTTTTTTCATTATTTATTTTCCTTGAAAGTTGCCAAGAATCAGTTGCAACAGTTGTTCAGTTGGTGATGGATACATCCTCAGTGGTACAAAGATGTGAACTGTTCAATTCTCTAAGCACACTTTGAGTTCCCTTGTTTTCTTTAGATTAATCCAGAACCTCCTCTTGTTTCCCTGTACATATTAACAAATAGTAAATTGTTGATGTGACTTGCACATATTCCTCATGAGGAGTGTCCCAGGAGCCCACTATGATTTCCATATACAAGTTCTGTGTTAACACTTTTTCTCCTTATTGAAGAGCATGACTACACACCACCATAATTATGTCACTGTATACAGAATGCACCCCCTTTATTCTAGACACTTCTATGAAGAGCAGAAATACTACACATGGATTGCCACACTCTTCATGTATATATCTACATGTTTGCAGGTTTACATCCAGAAAATGTTCAATTAAATTATAGGACTATTGAAAGTGAAAGAGTGGAGGCAACTTTGTTGAGGAAATGCTTGTGGAATGTACAGTGAATACAGCATATCAGACTTTATCTACCCCTCAGTTGCGGTTGTGGGCTGTATCTGCTGTAAATATCAATCCAAAAAACGTGTATGACTCCCACTTGCGGTTGAGGGGTGAAGCAAGTTTCCGACAGATGATCGCTTGCAAGCGTTATGGTTTATTTGATTTTATTATTTTCCTTTTGTGTGAATGATTTCATTGCTGTTTGGAAAAAAAAAAAAAGAAACTAATTTCGGTTGACACTGACTGTTTTATTTTTCTAAAAAAAAAAAAAAATTCTATATGTCATGGGTACATTTAATATATTCAAGAATACTCAGGAACATTACTAAAAAAAAATCTAAAGGGCAATTATGGATGGAATTGAGCAAAGATAATGCCAATTGTGGGAGTTCAGATATCTGTAAATTCTGGAAGCTAATGTTAACTGTGTTTCTGTAACCTTCAGGATGCTGTCCCATGCTGCCTTGCATGAGCTCCCACCCTATGCTGTGGCTTCTTGTCCTTTTTTAAAGCCAGTCAAGACGGGTGAGAAACCCCATATAAAACATGGGATAAGCACAGCACTTTGAGTGCAAGAATCTTTGTCAGTGGGCTCTTGTGTGATAGTGCACAGGGGTCGCTGTAATTCAGCTTCTTTTTACCGACAGAAGAATAACTGACAGCTGGTAAACAATTGATCTCTTAGTCTCAGAGACTAAGTTGCTCAGAGTTGTTGCTATTGTATTACACAATCCAGTAGGCATTATGCAGGGTGAACTATGTTGCATTCACACTTGTAGTAACCTGCAGGTATACGTGCAATGCCATTTATTCTTAATAGCAGCACAAGCCCTAATACATTTAAAAGACAGCATTTACCCTAAAGAGCATCACAACCCACAATGTGAATACTCTGGGAGGTGTGTCCTGCTTTGTCAAAAATAGTTTAGCTCTTTTTTTCTTCATGCATTGAGGCATGTTGAGCGCCCATTTGAAAATGAATACAATAAATAGACACAAACGTGTCACTGGGTTCCACACTTATTTCTTATGACTTTTTGGTGCAATCACACATTGTTCTTGCTTGTTGGTTATACAGAGAACCTTAATGGCAACATCTATCAGATGCTCAGTCCTTTATCAAAAGACCGTCAAAGAGGATCATGTGTCACGGTGTACACACACTAAAAGATCAGTTATAGAGCCAGTCCATCTATGAATTATATTTTAGTTATGGGTAGAACCTGGTGGGCTAAGTCAGCCACAACTTGTTTGTTTTAAATACAACAGCAGGATCTGCTGACCATGATTCTCATTCCTATTGACCTGGGTGTTTTGGGTGTACCTTTTTTGTGTTTTAGCTTTTACTGTTGTCTTTTTTTAATCGTATAAAATAAATAGAAATTCAACAGTGGAAACTCCTCACAATGGTCATATCAGCTATGCAGACCTAGCAACGGAAGCAGTCTCTGAGAGCTATAGTTACAAAAAAAAGAAAAAAACTCAGGTGGTTTAATACTCCAGAACCAATTGCAATTCAACAACGAATGAAAAAAAAAAATGCATATGCATTTAGTGGAAATTGCATGGCAAAGCATCTGTGTATTAAAGGAGAACTATGAGGTGAGTGCTTTTCACTCACCTCAGTTCTAGCTGACCTGTGACAGTCTCGTTGTCACAGGTCAGCTAGAACTGAGGTGAGTGAAAAGCACTCACCTCATAGTTCTCCTTTAATACACAGATGCTTTGCCATGCAATTTCCACTAAATGCATATGCATTTAGTGGAAATTGCATGGCAAAGCATCTGTGTATTAAAGGAGAACTATGGGGTCAGTGTTTTTCCCCATAGTTCTCCTTAGGGTAACGGGAGGACACAAACTAGCGTCCTCCCGTTACCCTAAGGAGAACTATGGGGAAAAACACTGACCCCATAGTTCTCCTTTAACTTGCAAATCTATGACGTATTGGTAAAAGTTCACCCCTTCTTACATCCTGACAGCTCCTTATTGGACAAGCTGCCCATTACATGGTGCTACCAAGTGTGACTTTAACAATAAAATGTAAGATTTGCACACAACTTCAGCTGCTCATATCTCTGTATCTACTGAGGATTTTGATGAGTTTTTCTCTATCATCTGTCAAGGTACACAGCTCTATCAATTCTGCCTTCAGGAGAAATGGACACTTGTCAAAAAATTTAAAGCCAGTCATTTTAAAACAATAACCCCTCCCACCCCACACCTGCCAGTTTTGCTTGGTGTCCTCTGGAAAATGGATATCTCCTTCTCCTACTTTTTATTTTGTTTTTCTTCAGTGAGATTCTACTATCAAGAGCTGCTAGTTGATTAATGCCGGACAATGTTAAATACTGTTTTCCTGACACTTAAACAAAAACAAAAAACCCAAACAAACCTGTAACACACTGGCTTTTTACTGTGCATGCACGCGCACTCACTCAACATGTCCCTGTTAAGTAGGCCAGTCGCATGTTCCCAGAACTCTAGTGAGGATACACGCACCACCTCAGCTCTTCTCCTGCCCTCACTTCACATAGTTGAGACACCTGTGGCATTAAGGAGAAGCTGACACAGAATCTGAGGGAAGAAGGCGCTGAAGACATTCTGCTCAATATCTCCTATAGGCTCTGCAATGTTATCCTGCTGTATGCTGCGAGAAGTGGCATAGTTTGTCTGATTTTTCATCTGATACTTTACAGTGGTGAGGGTCGGGAGTATTCTAGGAAAACAAAGTGCTTGGGAGTGGACAATCATAACGGGAAATGTACCTTTTGAATAGCAACGAGACAACTGTGCTGAAACATCTTATGATGTATCCACTCTAGTCTCTGTGTGTTCTACCTGTAAGGTAGAAATTACCAAAGGGAATGATTGTGATAAAGAAGAACTCCAGGGAAAATTTTTCTTAACCCTTGCACTGGGGCTGCAAGGGTTAAGTGCTCGTTTTGGTCTAGCTGCAAAAATAAGTTATACTCTCCTGAACCTCTGAATCAGTGGCTGCTTCTGTGCTGCTTCATTGTATATTGATTATTTTCCCCCCTTAGTGATTTTTCTGTAGTTATGGAGGTTTTGTCTATCGCAGATAGATACAAATTGTTTCTCATTCCGCTAACAAGGGTAAGAAATGTCCCCACTCTTCCTCTCCTATAACTTCGGATGAGGAGATGCTGGATCTGGATATTTCTGGCTTAGCTGGAGCCCTTCCAGTGGATTATTTATCTGGTGATGAATCCTTATGGTCCTTGGAGGAGGACGTTACTCCAGCTGATGATCAGTCCCCTATGATGTCTCAACATCAGAGAAACTGTGGCTTTTTAAAATAAAACTGAACATTCAGCTTTAAATTTGGAGGATTCCGCAGTTTCTACCCCTTTGGCAGTATCCATTTAAACCTGCATGTGTTGAGGTTTTTATCTTCCCTTTTCAGATGATTTCAGAAATAAGTGTGTGCCCCCCACTGATAAGAAATTGGAAACTACTTCTCGCTCCATTTACCCTTGCCAGGATAAGCTTTTCTACCCTTGTTAGCCACAGTTCTTATTTTGCTGACTCTAGCTACCTGGTTTAAGACTGTGAGTGCTGACCAATTGGCTTTGAGTGTCGACCCACATTTTATTGATTGTGTCAACCAGATGATAGTTGTGTCTAAAATATTCCTTTCCTCTATTCAGGGTCAAAGAACCATTTGGCTTAAATGTTAGTCAATGGAGCCTCGATATAAAAAGGGACTTTTAGATTTGCCCTATGTCGAAGACCATCTTTTCCGATGCATCACTGAATAAAATTAAGTAAGCTACTAGGAGTTTATAGTTACCAGGGCAGCAAGTATCCTTCATCTGCTAGACTAGACTGTAGGGTTCTTTCAGACTCCCCTGGCATTTCAAGTACTCCAAACCAACAGATAAGTCTGGTTCATCATGAAGTTCAGCCTACGCCTGTTTGTCAGCACAAATTTCCAGGGAATGCCAGATGTGGACCTTCTGGCAACTTTGTTCAACAAGATGACAAATTTGTATCTAGATTTGAGGGCATTCAGGCTATTCCAGTCATTCTCCTAACTCCAGACTGGTCTGTCTGTTGGTCGATCTTCTGTTGCCTTTTACGGATTGGCCAGATTTATTATCTCAGGGACCCATCTTCCACCCTGCTTCTCAGTCAATGGCTTTAATGGGCCAGATGTTGAAACCTAAGCTCTCAAGCACAGGGGTGTTGCTGACTCTGTTGTTCCCACTTTGCTTAAGACGCGCAAATCATCTTGATGTTAAATCTACTATCGGACCTGCAAGGTTTATTTTCAATGGTTTGAGCCTCTAGGTTTCTCCCCCGTGGTGATTTTTTTTTTTTTTTAACCATTGTTTGAATTCTTTCTTTGGTTCAGTTTGGGGTAGACCAAAGTTTGGCTCTCAGTACGATAAAGGGTCAGATATCTGCCTTGTCTGTTATTTTTTTCAATTATCTCTGGCTACTAGGGGGTTGCATATGTGGCTCCTCCTGTTTGATCTCTATTACAGTCTTGGGATCTGAGCTTGGTCTTATCAGTTTAACAAAGACCTCCGTTTGAGCCTATTTGTGATATTTATTTACCACTTTTGTTTGTCCTCCCTGAAGGTTCTAGAAAAGGTTGTCTGGCTTCCACTTGCAATATCTCTAAGTGGATTTTTCAGGTCTTTGCTCAAGCCTACGAGCTGCAGGATGAAGTACCTCATTTTCATATTTCTGCTCACTCTACTAGGGCAGTTTAGTACTACTTGGGCTTTTCACAATCAGACTTCAGTTGTTCAAATTTGTTAGGCCACAACCTGGTCGTCTTTTCACAATTTTGCAAGGTTTATTTAAAGTTGATGTATCTGCATCTTCTGATGCTAGTTTTGGCAGAAAAATTCTTCACGCGGCTATTTAATGGCTTTTATTTTATGTTGGGCTGGTTCTTCAGATTGTTTTGTGTGCCACCCCTCTGTTTTGGAATACTTTTGAATGTTGCTATGTCTCAGAATTTTTCAGAGCTGTGTCCCTCCATGGATGATTGAGAAAATAGGATTTTGTTCATACCTTAAAATCGTTTTCTCAGAGTCCATTAAGGGACACGAATTCCTCACCTCAATTCCTTTTACACTGCTTAATACGAGGCAGGTGTGAGGTGGGAGGGGCTGGTGTGAGGTGGGAGGGGCTATTTTAAAATAACAGGCTTTAATTGCTTTGCCTAGTGTCC